TCCTCCTGCCTCAGTGTACCACCTCCCTGGTTTGATTTGCCTCCTGTACCACCACACAGATTGAATCATTTTGTACCTTTCAGATCAAAAACTAATTCCTTAAAAAAAAAAACAAACCCTAATTCCTAAACTCATATCTGGTGGTACAAAGGTTAACACTCTTTGCCACAGGCTTTTGCATCTGGATTTAGCAAGCTTGGCCAGTTTTGAGTGTAAACTTGATTAGGGCTAGGTGGTTTCCAGTTATTTAAGCAAACACTAATCTAAGAGTTGCTTTGAAGCTAGTTATTCCCAGGTAATTAGGGGGGTCAGTTCCAGGACCTCCTCAAATGGGTTTGTATCCCTTATATAAAATGGTGTGGTATCTGCTAGAACCTGGACATCCTGTGTAGACTTTAAATCACCTGTGCACAACATACAACATCTAATGCAATGGAAATGCTTCGTGGTTGTTTACTGTTCTGTTTAGAAATGACAAGAAGAAAGTCTGTAAATGTCCAAGTCACATTCAGTTGAGTTTGTTCTGTTGGAGACCAGGCTATACAGGGTTAAGCTGCTGAACACAGGGACCTATGGGTGTGCTGAAAAGAGCATATGCATAGTGCTCTGAGGTCAAGATAACACCACAGCTGAGGCAGCCAAGGACACGGGCTGCTGAAACCCCTATTCCAGAGCAATAAAGCTACCAACCTTAGAGATCAAACAGTCCTCTTAACTGATAAAATTTACTGAAGAAATCTTTGAACTGACTCCCAAGGTCCTGCTCAGTTCCTGTGCTTGCCTTAGTATCCCCTTCCTTTGCTTGAAAAGCAAATAAATACGGCTGTCTGGTGAAGCTCTTTGTCTTTAGAGTTTTGACCTTCCTGGATGCTCCAAAATCATACTACTGGTCTCTTTTATTTAAGCCATTCACTTACCCACCTGTTCAGGAGATTGAGGCTAGGCCAAGACCCCAACATTTTTTTTAAGACCTCACTATTTTTTCAGTATTTTTGATTCATGGTTGGTTGCGTACTTGGATGTACATTCCACAGAGGGCTGTCTGCATTTTCTTGATATAATTAATCAACAATCAGTTACTTTAAATAAAGACCATTCTCAGCCAGGTGTGGCGATGCACATCTGTCATCCCAGCACCTGGAAAGTTGAGGAAGGATTGTAAGTTCTAGCCCAGCCTGGGCAATTCAGCAGCTTAGTGAGGCCTGGACTCAAAACTTAAAATGGGATGGGGAGGTAGCTCAGTGCAAAAACTCTTGAGTTCAATCCCTGATGCCACAAAAAAAAAAAAAAAAATTGTCCTGGAAAATGTTTGTAGACATCATCTAATCACCTGAAAGGCTGAATCAACAAACATGAGCCCATTCCTAAAAATAAACCCCTCTCTGGTATGTATATACATACATATATATGTGTGTACACACAGATACATATCTGATATATATGTTGACAGAACATGGTATGTGGCTGCCTCTGATCCCAGTCACAGAAAAAGCTACTGAATTCTCCCCAGAGGTCAGGCCTGCCGGCCTTCCCTCCTTTTCTTTTCCTGCTTCTGGAGGTCTTTCTCAGGAGACTAGAGGCCTGTGTCTCCTGAGGTTACCATTTCTCCTGTCCAGCTCATCACATGTCTGCTATAACTGGGAAGCCTAGCTTCTCCAATCACAGCTGTTTGCCAATGTCAGTCTCCATTTCAGTCACAGGGGGCCACCTTTGCCCAACTCATCTACCATATCCCTGCCCCTCTCTCTTCAAGGACCCATTTCTATGCATTATCTGTTCAGCAGACTGACAGTGTCTCTTAAAATCCATTGTTTTCTTCAATGGAAACTGGCCAGACATAACTTTTCAAGATAAGACTAAAATATTTCTCAGTCTCTCTTTCCATAGTGTGGTCATATGACTTGATTATAACTAATAGGATGTGAGCAGAAGTAATGTGTGTGATGCACTAAGTTGTACATTAATTTTTTTGGCAGGGGAGGGGGGGGGCGTGCCAGGGATTAAACTCACAACCTCATGCTTGGCAGGCAGGCACTGTGCCACTGAGCTATATCCCCAGCCCTCAACTGGGGGCTGGGGATTAAAAGCAGGGCAAAAAATAAAAATAAAATAAAATACATAAAATAAAGGCAGGGCATGCCTCTTTCTCCTACATGGCCAAGTGAACTGTTAGCACCTCTCCCTCCCCCTCCTCCGACACACTCCAGACACAAACACATTCAAACACTCATCATGGGGATTAGGATTTGCAATTTGTTCTTTCCCTGATTTGCTTGCTTGAGCAAATGGCCTAAAATGATAACACCATCCTGTCAAGAGCCCAGCCTTAACATTTTATAGCAGGGACCACACATTCAAATAATTCCAGAGACCTAGCAAATAACAAGGGACAAATGGAAACTACAGGGAGCTCAGTCCAATCTAAAAAAAAAAAAAAAGCAGCCACCACTTGGCTGATTTCCAGCTTGTAAGAATAATGGGCCAGTCTTCTCAGATTTTCTAATTTTTCAAAAGGAAAAAAAATCTGGATTTTTTTTATATCTCCAGATTTTTAAAACAAAAATCTGAGGATGCAGCTCTGTGTGTTCTCTGTTCAGTTCCCAAGGGGAATTTAAAAAAAGGAAAAAGCTACCTCCCAGACATCACTGATATTGTTTATAATGTTGAATCCTCTGCTTATGAATATTTTATGACCTTATAATCTGAGGCTTTTATGTATTTCATAAAAATCATTTATGAAAACACTTTTTAACCAGATGGCTTAATTTACAACTTTTTGTTCATTCTTAAGGATCTTCACAAACCAACAGCCCAAAATTTCAGGGTTCAAGAAATTGAGGGTTTGGTATATAGGCCAGTGATAAGAGTTTTTGTTCTGCCTATGCAAGGTGCTGTATCAAAAAAAAAAAAAAAAAAAAAAAAGCTGAAAAACGCAAAGTTCACTACGGTTTTCACCTTTGTCATCACATACATTTCCATGCCAGAAAATCCAATCCAATCATTTTTCTCTTGGAATTGATGTCTCATTTTTCTTCAATCGGTATACCTGGGTTTTTTTCTTTTTCAAACTACCTTCCACTTGTGTTTCAAACTTTCTTTACATATGTCCAACTGATTTAAACTTAACTGAAATAATGCCAACTCTAATAAACATTTCTCTTGTAAAGCTAAAGTAAATAATATCTCCATTAGGGGGTGGGGATTTAGCTCAGCGGCATAAGCGCCTGCCTTGCAAGCAGGCAGTCGTGAGTTCGATCCCTAGTACCGATAAAAACGAAAAAGACAAAACACAAACAAAAAATAATATCTCCATTAAGGTATCATTTACTAGCACTCTGGGAGGTTAAGGCAGGCGGGTCACAAGTTCAAGCCCAGATTCGGCAACTTAACATATTTAGCAAGATCCTGTCTCAAAAATGACTGAAAATGCCTGGGGAGCTAGCTCAGTGTGATGGCCCTACATTCAATCCTCAGAACCGAAAAAAAAAATCTGTACTTTGTTGTCTTTATTCTATGCATTTAATATTTTATAATAAAAACCAAAAAGTGTAAATATAAAAATCTTGCACATACTTTTTTCAAAAAAAAAAAATCACAATCTGCTGTAATAAAAGGCTAAGGCTAATGATTCTTCTAAACCACTTAGTGTTGTAAATACATGAACTTGGCAACAGCCTCTCCAGTGACATGGGCCAACCTGAAATGAATGTGACTCAGAAGTGGCCATAACAAAAAGCCTCTAACCGATGGTATTAATATTCCACAACAGTTAGTACAAACCAATGATCTTTAGATTTACAGTATTAACCCATTTTTAACATTTATTTCAGTTACTATATCAATACGTTAATCATTGATATAGTGCAGGGTGCATACTGGTCAAATAAAGGCTATGGTCTATATGCTGAATTTAGTTAAGGAGCTGCTAAGTAAAACTCCAAAAGAGATTATCAATGGGTCCTAGAAGTGAAGCTAGAGGGCTGGCATTCAGTCACATCTCAAGAGGAACAATCATTTCTGCCTTGTTTTATTTGGCGGGGGATGGATAACAAGTAATATCAGATCTGCAAGACCTTACCGCTGTACTTACTTGAGCGCCCCACTGTTAAGTGAGTTAAGTGAGAGGGAAGGACAGCGATCCTTAATTTAACACTGCACAAAAAGCATCTTGTACATCGAACCTCCAGCTTCTTCCAGATTAAAATTTAGCTCCACGAAACTTGCCTAACGCAGTCTACTTCTCTTATATTAGTCACCACACGCTACTCTACGGGTATAGATATCTGCATGACAGCGGTTTCCAGAAGACCCACCCTAGCGTCCTGCCTGTCGTCCTCTACACAGCCATTGCTGCAGCTCGATAGAACCTTCTTCCCCGTATACCATGGGGAATCACAGCACGTCCAGCCTTCAAAGGCCTCCTCCAGCTGGAACATCCTTTACTCTCGTTTCTTCTAGCCAGAGCCCGCAGGCTTGGAACAGGAGATACTCCTCCAGGAGGCCTTCCTGGATTCCCGCCCCCCCCCCCCCAGGCCAGATTGTGTCCAGAGCAGCTCCAGTCCTCGGTGAACTTCGCAGTCTTCAGAAGCCCACTTGTCCACAGCAGCAGGGACCCACCCCCACCCCTTGCCGCCCAAGTCAGATTTGCGGACCGCCTTGACAAACCAGGGCTTTCCATAGGCTCCCCCGGACCTTCGCCCTATTCAACAGTGACCGAAAACTACTTGGCGCTCCCTATACAACGGAGATTTGAGCCTATTCGCTATCTTCAAAAAGTTGTGAGGTTGACTGCGTTTCCCTGCTAGCCAACAGCACTCCGGCCTCCGTAGTCGAAACAAGCCTTGCCCCGCGCTCTCGCGCGTCCAGTCTGCGCAGCCGCACGCTCCCAGTCCCGGCGTGCCCCTCGCCCTCTTCCCAGCAAGCCCCCGCGATCCCCGATGGATGCCGGGAGATGTGGTCTCGGTGGACGGTGGCCAGGTGGTCGGCCGGCGCGCGTGGCAGGAAGCGGAAGCGGCTCGCGCCCCACCCCCGGCCCCGCCCCGTGCCGCGCCGCCTCGCTCCCCACAGGGATAGGACTGACGTGTCTTTCAGCGGAGGTGCTGCGCTCCGGAGAGGGCGCCGTCTCCTTACTTGGAGCGGAGCGAAGCCGAAGCGGGACGCCGACCCGGAGCAGCCGCCGCCGCCATGGCGAGTGAGTCCTTCGGGGGCAGCCGTGGTGCTGCTGGGATGCATCAAGCCCCCTTCCGCTCCAGTGGACGCTCAGGCGTCCACCCCATAGGCCCGCTCGGGTCTCGGTGCGCGCGGCCTGCACCCCCCGGCCCTCCTCGGGAGTCCTCGCGCTCCCCTGGCCCAGCCTGCACCGCTGCGTCCTGGGCACGAGGCATCCCTGGGTGGTGCGGCAGGTCTCCCTGTGTCCTAACTCCTAGTCTTTTGTTTCTTTAATCAAAGTCAAATTTCTGGAAGTCATCAAGCCCTTCTGTGTTATCCTGCCGGAAATTCAGAAGCCAGAGCGGAAGGTAAGTTCCCCATATCGCCATCAGAGGAGGCTTGGCGAAACTGGGCGCTGAAGTTTAGAGTACAATTAAAGATGGCTTCGACTCGTCGAGTGGAAACTCTCCCTCTACGAGTGGAGTGGAAGGTACGCTGTCACACCTCGGAGCGCTGTGAAGAGGAGGCCTGGTTGTTTGGGGAAGCCCCCCCAGCCCCGTATCATGGTTGTACTTGGAGCAGCTTTGGTGGTTGTTGCTCAGTGAACACAGCCTTAGATTTGCTCTGCTCCAGAGTGGGTGAATAAGGCTTCAATTAGCATCCTCAGATTGCGTTGCTCTTTCTTCTTTGAGCAGATCCTGGAGTGGTTTTGACCCCTGTAGGAAGTGATCTTTATACCCAGATGCTAAGCGGAACAACAGTCACTTCAGGCTGTTTGTACATTTAATGTAGACTGTCACAGTGCTGAAAATACGTGCATTTTGTGGAGTCTGCTGCTACTCAAAACATGCATTAAAACAAAGAAAGAAGTGTAGCACTATGGTGACTCTTTATCAGAATTTCCATGGCTGCACAGCCACAGCTCAAAAGTGTATTGCCAATGTGAAGTTGTCTGACAAGAAAAATTTCATTAGGTGAATAAAAAGCTATCTTGTCTCCACAATCTTTCAGACTATTGTTAATATAGTCACATATGTTTATAATTAGTCAGCATCCATAGGAATATTTGGGTGCTTGAGATCTACTTTTCTTCCTTTACATAAAATACATAGTTTCATATAAATGCCTTCCATACGAGCTGCGTTTCATGGACTAAATTGCAAAACGACCCCCTCCATGCAAGTGTCATAGGACGGGTATGGCTCTGGAGCTTGGCAGGCCTCCTACCCCTTACACTGCTTCCTAACAGCCATGTGTCCTTGGTGAGCATAGCACATAAATTCTGGAAGAGGTGAAGTCTAGTGGTTTGGAAAGAGGATTAGAAGTCTCTTGAGGGTATGGAAGGGAATTCTGATAACAAGAATGTATATTTTGCAGGTGCAGAGACCAGATTAGTCAATGTTTGCATGGAAGTCGTTCAGTGTAGTTCATATTGATAGGACAGAAAAGAGAAGATAGGGAATAATGGATGAGGAAGAAGAATTGACAGATTAGTAGATCACTTTGGAAGTAAAGGAGAAACATAGAGTATGGCTTAGAGGTTTTGCACTAAAGGGTGACCTGAAGTATTGAGCAAAGATGCATTTAGGGGCTATTTAAGAGGTGAAAGAGACAGGTCTTAAAGAGCTTTTGAAATTTTGCTGTTAGGTTTGCTTGTAACCAGAAAAAACTTGGTCATTTTAAATTGAAGAATCTTGGAAAAATTGTCTGCCTTTCTTTTTCTCTTGGGGACTGATTTCATTATAAGTTTGTCACATCACTGGTTAGTTTGAAAGCCTTTCTTTGGCCAGCTTCTACTTTCTTGATGTGGAAGGATGAGAATTGGGAAGGGGAGTGTTCTCATGGCAAAGAAGAGTTCTGCAAATACCCAGCTTCCTGTGGAGTGACTGTGGCACACCTCCTTTACTAGGTGTGTTGTGTCTTCTTCCTTGTCTGTAGTGGAAGTAGAGGACTCAGCTACTGTTCTGACCCTATACTCATGCACACTTCTTTTTGTCTACAGTTTGGGCCTTTCATACAGTTATTTGTTAGCTAATTCTACCTCAGACCCTCCCATAATAACTCATGTGTTTGCTAAGCCCTTTACATCCACTGTTGTAGGCAGCCTTGTACTGTACTGTACTAGGGAAGATAGTGTTAGAAGAAGATCCAGAATAGTTCCCACTCTAATAGTGACCAATGCCTTGAGCAAGAAGAGTCTAAACTTTTCCAATGATACCTGATAGTCATCTGTAACATGATTCTTATCACCTGTTTGACTTAGAAGACTAAGAAAATTCTTAAAGTTAAACAGATGTTACATGCAGCTCTTCCTGTTCTTCCCTAGTATTGGTTACTACATAGTTTTCTTTGGATCATAAAAATGCACTTTTGAACAATCCCAAATTCCAAATTAGCTGGCTCCAGAATAACAAGATTTTCTTATTTCCAGACTCCAATCAAATAGAAAGTGTTTGCTTAGATGTCATCAAGGCTTGTCTGTTTTACGAAAGTTACTTTCTATTGTGATGTTCTTTATCTTTGGTTGAAGCACTGTTAAAGCAAATGGTTAAGAGCACAGATTTAGACCCAAACTTACATCAACTGCGGATGTAAGACTCAATACTTCGCCTGCCTAAGAGCCAGTTTCCTCATTGTCATATAAAGATGAAGATGCAGTGCTATGGGAAGATTAACAGAGATCTCTGCCCTCTACTTGGGTAGCATACGATAAGCATACTATAACTGTTCTTGGTTTAGTGCTGTTGGGTGCATGGTTTGCCTGTCCTAGTGAATAGACGAAAGGGTCAGATGTGAATATTTTTATTAACTTGATTGCTTTCTTTTCTGCAGATTCAGTTTAAAGAGAAAGTGCTATGGACAGCCATCACCCTCTTTATCTTCTTAGTATGCTGCCAGGTAAAAAGCTCCAGCTTCAGGTTTTGGTGTTGAGGTGGGGATAGAAGTGGCTAGAAATGAGGTGCCAAGTCCTCTTCTCTTTTCTTGTTTCCAGATTCCCCTGTTTGGTATCATGTCTTCAGATTCAGCCGACCCTTTCTACTGGATGCGAGTGATTCTAGCCTCTAACAGGGGTAGGACTGTCCCTCAGTGTGTCTCTTCCCTGCACAGTGTGGGCTCAACCAGTCTCATTTTAATTATGGGCTGTGGCTTTCTGCAGCGCTCAGAAAGTATTTGGGAAGAGTGAGGAATGTCAGCAGTGAGGGATGTCTCACTGAATGGCCTAATTAAATGCTGCATTCAGCACTGAGGGATACCATCGTGTTTAGAATTGGATATAAATACAGTATAAAACCTGTAATAGCAAGATAAGTCTGCGTTGTGGAGAATTTTAAGAAACATGGGAAACTAGAACGCCTTGTGAATACCTGAAATGATGGCGTGTCCATTGATAACATCCTTTAGAATATGTAATTTGCTTCTCAGCTGTATCTTTTCCGTATCTATAGATTACGTGTATGTCAAAAAATCCGCACTGGTGTTTTGTGAATTCTAACTAGTCACCTGCAGGGTGCCAGGAGGATTTTGAATGTGTATGTTGATACTGAGTTGATTAATTCATTTTAAAAATGTAGCTCAAATTAAGTTCCAAACCAGTCAAAAATATACCTCATTTTAGCATAATGGAAAGTAGAGATTTGTTCACAGCTAGATACAAGTGCACCAGCCTTCTCTGCAGACTCTGGAAATGATTTGAATGTTATCCTTTTTTCGGTTAACTGATGAAGAGACGAACCTTTCTTATCTCTGTGAGACCAGAATGAATCTGTTCGTGGTGAATTTAAATGTAGCAGTCTGTTTAGACACCATGTGATTTCCTAAACAGAATAAGATGTTGCTTGGCAGGCTGAACAGAATAAATTAAATTCTGCTGTAATCATTGATGTTTGGGGGTTATTCTGTAAATTAAATATTGCTGGCCAGTTGAAACATACAGGATTTGTGTAAGGGGCACCCATTCAGTTTTGCTATTCATTCTGAATATTTCACCTTTCCAAGCTAATGCTGACTGTCTAACTTCCCCTTTCCTCCAGGCACACTGATGGAGCTAGGCATCTCTCCCATTGTCACCTCTGGCCTGATCATGCAGCTCTTGGCTGGGGCCAAGATCATTGAAGTTGGCGACACCCCAAAAGACAGAGCTCTCTTCAATGGTGCCCAAAAGTGTAAGAAAAGCTTGTATATCATGTTCTGATATCTGTAGTCGAGAATTTGAATTTGCTCTAAAGTTGGGACATTAAAACTGTTGTGCTTTGTACTGTGAAACCTCCTTAGCCAGCCACTCCACGGGTGCTTTGTGACCTGTAATAGAGGTGCCCAGCCCAGAGAGTGGCGGAATGAGAGGGGAGATCCCTGAGGACCTCACAAAATAGAGTAGAAGCAGCAAGTTTGGAAATCACCCTCCACTGGCCACAATTTACTTACCATGTAGAAGGAGGTGGCATCAACTCAGGGCTGTCATAACAATTCAATTGAATGCTCACTTGCAGGGTGCCCAGCACTTGGTAGGTACTTGGCAAGTGTTGTAAGAACCTAACTGAGGGCAATAGTGATCTCTCAGTCCAGCTCTGCTACCTGCTAGCTCTGTGCTGTGAGGGAAAGTCAGATGGCAATGACAGCTGTTAAGGTTCAGCTTCTTCACCTGTTAAAGGTACTGGTAGTAGTGTTTACCATGTGGGCCTTACAGAAAATACTAGGTATTTATGGTAACAGTGGCCAGTCACCAAAATTAACCAGCTTTAGCCTCTTTGAACTGAAAGACATTAATTAGGAAATTGTATTTCCAGTTTCCTGCTCAGTCTTTTCTTTCACATCATTTTTTCAGATCTTAAATTAATAGATTAATAATTGAGCAAGAAAGACATGTAATCTAAACTTATCAGTTTGAGACATAAGTTAAGATTTAAAATCTATAATGGAGTAAAAAGCAAAAATTAGCTGGTTTAGGTTGTTTGTTTGTTTTTGAGAGAAGGTTTTGCTATGTACCCCAGGCTGCCCTTGAACTCACAGTAATTCTACCTCCTTAGTGCTGGAATTAAAGATGTGTGCTACCACATCTAGCCCCCCAAATTAACTGTTCGTTCCTTAATCTTGGTCATTTTTTTGTGGGTTTTTGAGGGGGGGGGTTTTGTTGTTTTTTCTTCATAATTCAAGGTTGTTGGGCTAGGGGTATATTTCAGTGGTAGAACTCTTGCCTAGAAGTGCAAGGCCTGGGTTCCATCTCTGGCACTGCAAAAAAAGAGAAAAAGAATTCAGGGTTACTGAGTAATTTTTTAAAAAGTCAGATAGGGACTTTTGGTGGACACGTTGGAGGAAAATTTCATTTTCTATGAAAGACTTAACTGAAAAACTCAAATTGACACCTGTCTATATTGAGGAACCAATACAGTATGTTGGTCCCATTGTGTTTAAGAATAAAATATAATGAGATACAAGAAACGGTCCACACAAAGCTCTTTCATGGTGCTTGGTAGCCTACGAAACTGGGCCAGTAACCAGTCTGTTGGTGGTGTAAAATTTTTCCTTTAAAAATACAGTCACAGGGGCGAGGGTATAGCTCAGCGGCACAGAGCCTTCCTGACAAGCTTGAGGCCCTGAGTTTGATTCCAGGACTAGTGAAAAAACAAGTACAGTCAGAACTGGGCCTAGCTACTCAAGAGACAGATGCAGGAAGACCACAAGTTCAAGGCCAGCCTAGGCAATGTAGTGAGACCCTGTGTCAAATTTTTTAAAAGGGCCAGGAGTGCAGCTCAGTACCACTAAACAAAACCAGAAGAAAGTTAGACAGGGGTTTATTCTATTTTATTCTTAGTGTTCTGTATGCTGGTCTCAGTAGTCATCCTCATAGTTGGCCCAATGTAGTTCCATGTCAAAAGTCTAAATCCCAGGTAACCTAACAGCGCACTTGGGTGCTACAGGTGGTGACATCACAGAATTAAATAGATTGTGCTACGCAATTTGCTTTTTCTCTTTTTCTTTCTTTTTTTTTGTTGTTGTTTTGTTTTGATTTTTGTACTGAGGATCAAATTTATCACCTTGTGCTTGCCAGGCAGGTGTTTATGCCACTGAGCTAAATCCCTGGGTGCAATTCACCTTTAAGAAGAGTCAGATTAGGCCACTGCTTCTGCAGTATTCTCCCATGACTGAAAAGACCAGGAGGCCACGCGGGGATCCCGGGGGCAGCCTGTGGGCAGCATCAGGATTGGCCACTGTTTCTGTCCAGTGTGGAGAAGACATTCACCAAGGGCTTCCTCTGCTAGTGCCCTGCTTGGGTGTCCTCTGTGACATGCCACATTGGGAATACAGTCCTTTTGCTTTCTAGTGTTTGGCATGATCATCACCATCGGCCAGTCCATCGTGTACGTCATGACAGGGATGTACGGGGACCCCTCTGAGATGGGTGCCGGCATCTGCCTTCTCATCACCATCCAGGTAATGTGGCACCAGTTTCCCTAATCCCCAGAGAGCACTGTGGCTGTGTGTGGGAGGAGTCCAGGGCCTTAGTCTTGCCCTTTTGAATTCACCAGAGGAAGACTAAGGACAAGCTCCGACTTAGACCTCACCATTTATATCAGAAAACACAATTATGGAAGAAAGAAGGAACCAGGCCTGCTGGGGAAACTAACATATAATCTATTCAGATTTCTTTTGTTTTTTAAATTTCAACAGCTCTTTGTTGCTGGTTTGATAGTCCTACTTTTGGATGAACTCCTACAAAAAGGGTATGGCCTGGGCTCTGGCATCTCCCTTTTTATAGCCACCAACATCTGTGAGACCATCGTCTGGAAGGCCTTCAGCCCCACCACTGTCAACACTGGCCGAGGTAAGGGTCTGTGCCACTCCAGCAGGTGGCAGGAAGAGCCGCACAGAAGGGGGCTCCTAGGCACTCCTGGTGCTGTGTGCCTCCTGTCTCACATGTGAATCTCCATTGCAACATTTATTTAGCAACATTTTTCTTAACCAGTTGTCCTCTGTTGGTGCATTTATGTCATTTCCAGTTTGCTGTCATTTACATTGAAACAGTGAACATGCACTTGTCTTTATGTATTTTGGCAAGCTAAGAGTTCTCTGAGTGAGTAGTTTTCTGAAAATGGAATTACTGAGAAAACCAGAGCATTTGGGCATGCAAGGGGCAGCTTTGTGAAAGAGGCTTGCACTTGGGGTTCACCAGTCAGGTCCAGATCCTGCCTGTGCCTCTCAGTTGTCCATGTGTAACTTTGGGCAGATTCTCCCACCACAGAACTGTAGTTTCCGGGAGAACATGAGAAAGAACATGACATTATGTGATTCCTGACTCACAGTAGATGCATGTCAGATGTTGCTATGCTGTGTTGTATCTAAGAGTGCAGTGAGATCTTGTTACAAATGTTTCTGATTTTAAAAAATGATGGGCATGGTGCACACCTGTAATCCAAACTAGTCAAAGAAGGAGGCAGGATCACAAGTTCAGGGCCACCCTAGGCAGCTTATGGAGATTTTGTTTCAAAATTTAAAGAGGAAGGTGGTAGGGAATTGTAGCTTAGTGCTCCCTGGGTTCAATCTCCAGTACTGTCAAAAAGTAAAAGTAAAATTTTGTAAAGTTTTGAATATACAAAGGAAGCATCATAATAAGACTTATTAGGAAAAAGAAATGGGCTTTTTGTCAATAATATGTTCTTTATTCAGAAGAGTCCCGTGAAAAATATTGATTCATGCACTCTTGAGTTATTTTCCTGAACTCGAGCATGGAAACAGTTCTTGGCCTCCAGAACCCATAAAATCCTCTGTAATATAATTGGTGGCCTGAAAACTAGTCCAGTGAAGGCCAAGTGTGCCTGACATAGGGTAGAGAAGAGGGTATAGCTTGAGTCAGGAAGAGTCAGGAGCCTTGGGGAAGAGTGAGTGGTGATTCCAGTCTGCCTTAGAGCTTCTGAGAATTTTAGACTAACGGGCAGATTGGGAGAACCTGGGGGGAAGGCAGGTGTTGCAGGCCGGGGTGGAACTGGCACAGGGTGAGAGGTAAGACAGACAAGGCCCTGGGTGAGTCTGTCAGGGTCAGGACTGGGGCTCACTGGGAGCAGAGATACATTAGGAAGTGCCCCTCATGTGCATGGTGCTGGAGGGCACCCAGGACAGAGTGGTCTGAGGTTGCAGCCAGGGAAGAGCAAGCAGAGGGCACCTGGGACTCACACGGGGGAAGGAGGCTGTGAGATACACTGGGGCACCTGTGTCCTAGACAGCACAGGAACTCTTGCACAGCACAAGTGGAGGGTGACTTTTACCTCTGAGTAACGCTAGCCCCTCCCAATAGTCTCTTTCCCAAAGATCAGCAGGTGTAGATTTCAAGAAAGAATCTTGGGGCCAGATGAGGTGGTGCACACCTTTAATCCCAGCACTTCAAGGTTGAGATGGGAGAATCTCTGAGCTCGAGGCCAGCCTGGGCTACACAGTGAGTTCAAGGCCAGCCTGAACTGCATATTGAAACCCTGTCTCAAAAAAATAAAAGAAATCATGACAAGCTAAGAGAGCTGCATCATCCACCTGCCACTAGTGTTCCACGGCTTTCATTCCACAGATAGTTTGACAATTAACTACTAACTGCCAGGCCTTGCTGCAGGCTTTAAAGACAAAGTAACTAAAATGTGTTGTGAGTGTGCTGGATGCTTAGGCACTGTAGCTCAGGATGGTGGGTGCAGTGTTGGTGTGTAATCCCGGGACACCTCCTCCACAGTTGAGGAAAGTCTCACGGTGGATGCAGAAGCCCTGGGGTAGGGCTGCACCTCACGGAGCAGTGTGTATGGCTGCAGCAAAGTGAAGGAGGCGGAGGCCTGGCCACCGCTCAGTGCTGCTCGGTGTAGAGAAGCGTGAGAAGGACCCTTCTTCCTTCCCATGGCTGCTGGCTTCTGTGTCCTCTTGTGTAGTAGGGAGGTAGGTCACACATACCCAAAGTTGGGAAGGAGAGAGACCAACAGAAGACACTGCAGGCTAGAGAAGGAAGCCAGGGGGAGTAGGGCTGAGTGGTCATCCCGGGGTAGGACTGGTACCTGTCAGTCCCAGTGCCATTGGCCAGCACTGCCCACATACACTCTGAACAGTATCCGCTTCCTGCTAGAGCCACACTTGCCAATGTGACACTGTCCTAGAACAGCAAGAGTCTTGCAATGATGCCCACAATGTCTGGGCCTCCGTGTGCCATGGTACAGCTGCCCCTCATCCTGTGCTGGTTCTCTGCTTCCTGCCTCCTCCATGATGTCCTGCAGTCAGGCGTGAACTCAGGCTTGGGCCCACCCCATGCCACTCTGACAGTGAACACCTCAAGGGAGGTGCAGTTGGCATGAGGTACGGGCAACTGCACCTGAGCCGCAGACTGAGGATGGGTGCTCGGACCCCAGGGGTGTCCAGGGCCGCACCTGGCCCCTTGCAGCTGGAGTTCAGTGCGCTCTGCATAGAGGCCTCTGAAGCTGGTGTCACCCTTCCCCACAGCTGGTGGCCATGGACCCACAAGTTAACTCAGAAGGGTTGAGCCAGTCCATTACTGTCTGACTTCTCTGTAGAAGAAACAGAAATGGGAGGAGATTAAAAAGTAATCTGTACTGTGTTTGTGTGGCCATAGGCGTGCGTTCCATGAATGTCACAGCAGTTCTGTCTTCCTCTTGTCTTGGAAGCCAAGAGGTGAACTGAGCTTCTCCATCCTTCCCTCTCCCACAGGCATGGAGTTTGAAGGCGCCATCATTGCGCTCTTCCACCTGCTGGCCACGCGCACAGACAAAGTCCGAGCTCTGCGAGAGGCCTTCTACCGCCAGAACCTCCCCAACCTCATGAACTTGATTGCCACCATCTTCGTCTTCGCTGTGGTCATCTACTTCCAGGTGCGTCCCTCCTGGCCCTTGTAGCTCCTTGCTGTCTACATCGACAAGGGCCCCGACTGCCTTTTCAGGTTTAAAGTTTAACCTGCTTCATAATACGAGAACCTAACTGCTAGTTGGCCTTTCTGTGACTGGATTTGTTTTGTTTTGTTTTTGGGAGATAGGATCTCCCTGTGTAGCCCAGGCAGCCTGGAACTCTCCTTCTACCTCAAACCTCCCAAGTGCTATACACCACACCCAGCCCATTACGAATTTATTCTAAATTCTTTGTATTCTAAGCTCTGCTCTAGGCCTGGGGAGTTTGTAACTCCCCAGATAACTGAAACTCTTGCTGTCTCCAAGAGTTAGATGAAGACACTGTATTTGTAGAGTTTAGCTTTTCTGTTGATAAACCATTGTAAAAGGCTGAGCATGGTGCCACTACCTGTAATACCCCTGGGGGAGAGGCTGAGACTGTCATCACAAGTATGATCCAGTCTCGGCCACATAGTGAAACTTGTCTCAAAATAAAAAATCAAAAGGCAGGGAATGATGCTCAGTGGAGAACGCTTGCCTAGCACGTGCAAAGCCTGAGTTCCATCCCTGGGACTACTAGAAAACCACAGCATTGGAAAGGACCATCCCAGGGACAGCTAGCAGCTCCTGTGACAGCACAGGACTGACCACACTTAAAAGACCCACTTTGGAAGTTGGATTTATATATTTCCATCCTTTTTTGTCTGTGTCACATAAGGTGAATACCACCTGGGTAGACTTTGGCTTTTGTTATGTGGGATCATTCCACTGCTGTGCTTGGTCTTGCTGGGACCACTCTGCATGCGGCCCACATACAGCAGAGGGTAAAGCCTAGCTGCCTCTGCATCAGAGCCGACTGGTCAGCGGGCACCGTGTTCTCTTGTTTCCCAGGGCTTCCGGGTGGACCTGCCTATCAAGTCCGCACGATACCGAGGCCAGTACAACACCTATCCAATCAAGCTCTTCTACACCTCCAACATCCCCATCATCCTGCAGTCTGCTCTGGTGTCAAACCTATACGTCATCTCCCAGATGCTATCAGCGCGTTTCAGTGGCAACCTGCTTGTCAGCTTGTTGGGCACCTGGTCTGTAAGTCTGGCAGGGTGGGAGGCCATCCTCTGGCAGGTGGCGTGTGTTATGTGTCCTGCTTGGGACCAGCTGTATCACCAGAGGTCATCTTCAGTGGTGCCTTTCACAAATTTGTTCTCTTTTCCCAAAGAAAGCTGTCCTGTGGGTGCCTCTCCTCAGAGCTCTGGATCCTGTGTTAAGATTTGGGGAGACAGTGTTCTCAGACTTTGTGTTTCTTTCACTCAGGACACGTCCTCCGGAGGCCCAGCGCGTGCTTACCCAGTCGGTGGCCTGTGCTACTACCTGTCCCCCCCAGAGTCATTTGGCTCCGTGCTGGAGGACCCAGTCCATGCGGTGGTGTACATCGTGTTCATGCTGGGCTCCTGCGCCTTCTTCTCCAAGACCTGGATCGAGGTCTCGGGCTCCTCTGCCAAAGATGTGAGTAGCAGGCATCTCCACGACAAGCTGTCCTGTTGGGGTATGACTGCTTCTCTTCCCAACTGGTGATTTGTGATGCTTTCATATGGGTCCCCGACAACCAGCACTGGGTCACCAAAAAAGTTTCAACTTTGACCACTAGTCCTTGCACCAGTTCTAAGTTCTCTGTGTAAACATTGTCCATGCTGCAGAAGAACAGTGAAGTGTCCACTTCCTTCAGCATCCAGTTTAAAATCGGAACCAGGCTCGTAGGTGCGTGCCTTTCCCCCCAGCACTGGGAGACTGAGGCAGGAAGATCCCAGGGCAACCTAGCAATTTACCAAAAACCTGTTTCCATAGAGAGGACTGGGGATGAAACTCAGTGTGAAGGCCCTAGGTTCAATCTCTACCATTATAAAAATAAATACATAGAATTGAACATGTCTTCTGCTCTGGGCCTCACACAGGTTGCAAAGCAGCTAAAGGAGCAACAGATGGTGATGCGGGGCCACCGAGAAACATCCATGGTCCACGAGCTCAACCGGTGAGTACCCCCACCGCCTCATTGTCCACGCCATGTGCAGTGTTGTTTTCTGGGTTACTGAGTCTCATCCTTGTGCTGCAGGTTAGAAAAGGTCTCATGTCATTAAGTATTTATGGTCTTTCTAAGCTGTGAACACTAGAGATGTAAAAACAAGTATGGAGGGCCCCCCGAAAGAGGAGCCTGGGTAGGGAGACATGGCCCAGCTCAGGGGAGGAGGAGACAGCATGGCAGACAGGCCTGGCAGCGGGGATTAATTCTAATGTCTGGATCTGACTTCAGATTGCATCAGTGCAGGAGAAGTCATGGCATGATAGTTTACACTTTCATTTACAAGCCAGCTCTTCAAAAGTCTTGTATACTTCATCAGTCTTCCTGTGGACCGTCACATCCTCGGTCACGTGGCCTGCCTGCAGGGCAGCTCTGGTCTTAGTCTGGCCAGTGGTGGGGGATGGTGCTTCTACATGGCAGGGCTACAGCCCTTAAGGGGGCCCAGACCTGACTATGTCTGGGCCCTGCAGGTATATCCCCACCGCTGCAGCCTTCGGCGGGCTCTGCATTGGGGCTCTCTCGGTCCTGGCTGACTTCCTGGGTGCCATCGGGTCTGGAACCGGGATTCTGCTGGCAGTGACCATCATCTACCAGTACTTCGAGATCTTCGTGAAGGAGCAGAGTGAGGTCGGCAGTATGGGTGCACTTCTGTTCTGAGCGGGAGGCCGTGAGCCGCCGGAAGGAGCCCCACCACGGAGCGTGCTGCCCGTGGCATATGGACTTGTGTTTAATGATGGGTTTTTAATTTCATATTTTTTCATTCCACTGTGTAAAGTGCTAGAAATTTTCTAATTTGAAATTTTGCTTTTAGTTTTCCAGCACTGGCAAAAAATTATAGAAGGAAGTGTTTGTTCACTGGCCACCAGAACTGGGGTGGTAAGCAACTGTCCCCAAGTGTCCATGTCACTTTTGTCTGAACCCTTGCCACTGAAGGGGTCCTTACTGTCCCCCATGCAGGTGGGCAGTGACCCACTCTGGTTGGAAGCACAAACACTGAAACCCGTTCAGGCAGCAGGTGACCTCTGTCACCCAGGAGAGCCTGGCTTAAGACTGTTCTTTACAAGACTCCACTGTCCCCTTTCTAAAACAGGGTCTTAAGGCAGAGCTTCTCCTCGGAGGGACGTGTTCCCCAGAACTTGCTGCACGCATCATGGGTCCTCCCGGACAGTGTGCCAAGCAGGTGTCGGGGTTCAGAACAGGCTGCCCGGTCCTGGCACTGTCTGTTGTCTCTGCTGTCTGTGGTTGTGCTCACTCTTCCCCTCAGTCCCCAGGGAAGGGATCCCTTATAGCCACCACCAGACACAAAAGGGAGAGGCTCAGTGTTCAGCCACTTCCACTTCCACTCTGTAGTTAGATGCAGACAAGCAGGTGACAAGACTCCACAAGTCTCCCCCAGGCCTTCACCAGGTCCATGAGCAGGGAGAAAATATGCAGGCCAGGGGTCATGGTCCAGCTGGGTGGGATCCTGGGGACATTGCTGCAGTTTGATTGAAGACTTACAATCATGTCTGAAGTGCACTCTGCCTGGGAGGACAGGCAACAAGGATGACAGGGCAAAGCCTCCTAGGCTCAGGGAGGGACCAGAATAGGCTCTGGGCTGACTTTAGCCACAAGTGGGACCAGGGCTCCTGGCAAAGGGCACACAGCACCCTCTCGGGCTTTGTCCTGTCTAGTTCCTGGCTGGCGGTACTGGGTGGCAACAGCACGGGCCAGGTGGGCAGGGCAGGGCCCTCCCCAAAGCCAGGACTCAAATCAGTGGCAGTGAACCCACCACACTCGTTCCACAGCGGGCTGTTTGCGTAACTAAAAGCCCTAAGAGGTTCGCGTCACTGCATACACCATATCACATGTGGCCTTGTCAGACCCAGTCCTGAACAGCCACTCCTGTGCCCTGCGCCACCGCAACCACGGCCGGGCCGGGCTCACCTGCGGTTGGCGGTCGCAAGGCGGGTGGGGGCTGATCCCAGCTTCCAGGGGACTGTCACTGTGGACGCCAAAATGGCACAACTGAGATACAGTGAATATGTGATGAATAAAGCCAACTTTTTACAAGCTGCTTGGTCATGTTCTTTTTTGGGGTTTTTTGTTTTTTTGTTGAAAAGTGAAGTGTTTATTCCCTGAAAGGCAAGCAAAGACATTTAAAAGCTCTCATGTGCCTGTAGGACCAAGGGCTTGGCTGAGGCTTCAGGAGCTCCACGTGATTGTCCTTCCTCAGGCACTTTGCAGTAGCAGCAGGCCCCTGTGTGCTCACATTTGGGGTGGTGTGTGCAGCAGTTCCCTGCTGGCCGGGAGAGGTCTGAGCTGAGGAAACTTGGAGGGGAAGTGCCAGCTCCCCCACCTTGGGACACCCTGTGGACAGTGCCTGGGGCAGCACAGGGGCCCAGCTCTGCAGCATGTGCACGTTGACAATGCTGGCTCCTCACCTCACCTCACTTGCCATTCTCATTCCCGTGGGGTACATGCTGCCTGGGACCTCATATCACCCCCAGTAGAGCCAAGGGGAGACAGCTGGAACTGAAGCCCAGGGAAGGTGTGGCTGCAGTCACAGCCGCACAGTAGCAGGGCAGGGACCCAAGGCCCAGGCTCTTCAGACCCAGAGTTTCTAGCTGCTGGCCCTACCTACAGGTCCCCTTGGTGACCCAGTGGGTAGAATGAGGCCAGGAAGAAGTGACTCCACCACTTGGTCCCATTGTCCTCTGTTCCTAACATACTGTTTCCCAGCCCACCGCTGGGCCAGGCCAGCAGTACCCTCAGGAAGCTCGGACTCTCCTGGGCCCCACCACGCACTGCACTCTGAGAATTACAGTAATTGTGGTGGAAGCGGCTTCCACCCTTAAGCTCGCTCCAGCAGCTGGAGTGCTGTGAAGAGCCTGTACTCCCTGTCTGCCAAACTCATCTTTCAAATTCCACTCAGGCTGCAAACAGGTCCCCAAGAGGGACCTGGGTAAACGACCACACCTCTCCGGAGGGAAGGAGCCAGGACACTGCACAGAGAAAAACCTCCAAAGGCTGCCGGGAAGAAAAAAAGGCAGCAGAATAACTGTCACTATTTGTGTTTAAAGTGTGGGTGGGACATGGATAAAATTTACACAGTGCCCCCAGAAAGAGCCTAGGAAACTCCTAAACTAGAACCACATCTGCCCAGCCACGGCTCCTGGTAGGACCTACACAGGAGCAGCGTTCCCACCGCTGAGCTCCTCAAGGGCGGTGAGCTGGGCTCAAGGAAGTGGTCACCACAGAAGGCAGAGCTAAGTGAGGCCTCCAAGTTACTGCGAGGGACCTTTTGGCCACCAGCAACAACCCTGATGGGTAGGACTTTCCTTTGTTAGCGCTCAGGGGTGGTCCGTTTAAATTGTGTGCTTTTCACAGTGTGTAAGTTAGACTTCAAACTATAAACCCAACCCGGGTAGTTCCCCCCACCTGTAATCCCAGTACTCAGAAGGCTGAGACAGGACAATTGCTGGGAGCTTGAGGCCAGCTTGGGCCGCATAGGGAGACTATGTCAGTCGGTTAATCAGTCAATATCCAAAAAATTAGATACATGTCAACAATACAGTATTTAAAAGTGCAGCCAAGCCTGCAGATGACCAGACAGGCAGGGGCGGCGCACAGGTTGGTCACGCCCTCCAGGGCGGGACACGGGCGGGGCCGGCCGGTGTGCTGTGTGCCCGTGCTCTGGAGGCTCTGGAGAGTGTCGCTGTGGCCCCGCAGTCCTGGAGCAGGCCCCCAGGGGGCTCGAGGAGGAGCTCCGCTGGCTAAGCCCCCCTCCCCAGTCCCAGTCAGTCTTGGCAACCACCCCTTCCGCGCGGAGGGCGGTGCGGGTCTGGGGATGGCGCTGGGTCCCTTCGGCCGCTGCCCCGCGTCCCCGGATCCCCACGTCCCCGCCCGGCCGTGTCGCCCCGTGGCACTCGGCCCCATTAATCACGGCTCTGACGCGGGGAGGCGGAGGCGGGGGCACGATCGAGGCGCCCATCGCCCTTATCGCGCCGGCCCAGCCGCCGCCCCGCCGCCATTGATCGCGGGCCGGGCCGGGGTCAGCGCAGCGACGCGGTGACAGCGCATCCATCGCGCGCGACGCGGGCGGCACGGCCAGCCATTAATCACCACCTGCCGCGAGTGACGGCCGGCGATGGGGCAGCCAGGCTTCTGTCCTAGAGGCAGCCAGGGGAAGCGGCCCACACTGAGGAAGAGGGACAGACACGGCAGGGGGCAGAGGTGATGCGAGGCTGTTTCCAATCAGCTGCGAGGGCAGTTGGCTCAGCCTGGTCAGCACCAGTGCTGGCTGCTAGAGGTCACTTCTTCCCTTGGCAAGGCAGCCTCAGTGAGAGGACGTGAGAACGTGGTTCTTGGAAGTGGCAGAGGCACTCAAGGACCTCAGCGCTTTGTGCAAACAGAGGGGTCCTCAGGGTCCTTTCACACTCTGGGATCTGCCATGAAACTGGTTGAGCTGTCATGTAACCTCTTTCTCTAAGAGGGACGGGGTTAGGACCTCTCCTTTGAATTTTGGTCAGCTTACAAAAGCCACACGTCTCTGGGATACAGCTCCGACTGCACAGGAGATAATGACTCTGAAGGAGGGGAGAGGGCAGGCTGGTCCAGACCGGGGAAGGAGGTGGGGGTGGGGGGTGGAGAACAGCACAGGCAATGCAGCCAGAGAATCCTGCTGCATCCTCCAGAGCAAGGCCTTCCAGGGTGGGCCCCCGGGACCTGAGAGAGGAGGGGACAAAGTGCAACCTCCTTTGGCAACCCACCACATTGCAGAGGTGGCTAAGGAAGTCACTTTCTGGTATAATCAAGGTGTGACCCTGTGTCTCCTGCCTGTCAATCTCAGGGGCGACCCTAAAAGGAAAGTAGATGTCTGCAGAGACCCCAACAGAGGACCAGGGTCCACCAACCAGGCTGAGACTGTCTTTCAAGAGCCCATCTGGTTCCCTGGCATCCAGACCATTAGCAGAGCAGACAGGAACTGGGATTTATGTCCTGGCCACCCAATCGCTCACTGGGAGGCACCCAAGAGCTTGGGCACACTCAGAATATTCAGCCACTGTCTCAGCCGCCCCCACCCCGCCTGACTTTTAATATTACAATTTTTCACGCTGGAACTGAAATAGTGCAAAAAATGGGGTTGCTGTAATTGTTGTTAGATTGTGTGTCAGGCTGATAAGATGTAACAAATATTTTCCTCCCCACCAGGGTCTGTTTCCCTCTTAGTAATGGATGGAGAAACTTCTCATAGTCTACAAGGGATTGGTCGTAAAAACTTCTCCTGGAAGATTAATGTAATAATCAAAGGCCTTACTGGGAAAAAATAGGAGGGAAATTAAAATAACCAAACCTTCCTACCTATCCAGAGCCATCTACCACCCTCAGAACACCAGTTCCCTGGGCATGCCTGTGGCCAGGACAAAAAGAGGTGGTGCCCAGGGGCCCAGAGAACAAGGCCATGCACCCCTTCCAAATCAGCCACAGTGGTGCTGGGGGCCCTGGACAGCTGAAGGACATTGTCCACGCTATGGCCAGGTCCACTGTCAAAAGGGTCCTTCTGTGCCTTGGGAGCCAGACCACTGTCAAAGGGGTCCTTCTGTGCTGTGGGATTCCTGACACCAATGCCAGAGCTGGCCACAGAAGAGTCGTAGGCCCCTTCCTCACTGCTGATGCTGCTGGCCTTGCTGCCCAGGTTCATCTCACACCTGCTCCCTCCTGCCAAATCGAGCCAGTCAAGCTCCACACGCTGAGGCAGGTGGTATAGCCATGGGAGGGAATGATAGGTGCAGACTCCCAGGGGCCCCTGTATCTGCAACTCATCTTCCTCCTCGGACATCCGCACCATCATCCCTGGCCTTCCCCGCAAGGCAAGACAAATACCAAGCACTAATGTGGACATCCGCACACTATGCCCTCCAGACCCATCGGGCCCAATTGCAGCCATGGGTCAGACCTGAGGGATGAGATATATCTGGCCGCCTGGTCCCCTTTTTGCTTGGGTTAAAGCAACAGCAGGACCCAGGTGGCCACATGGTCACATCACACTTCCCTGTTGCCTCATGACACAAAACCCTGTTTGTCCTTAGGGCAAGGAGCTTCCCATGCAGAGCTGCTGAGGGCTGCCCTACAGACACAGCTACAGTGACAAGGACACTAACGAACACAAAAGCCAATGGGATGTGTGCTCAAAGGCCAAAATAGGACCAGTATGAGACTACAACTGGAAGTACACTCAGCACCCATGGGTCCATAAATCAATGGGAAAGGAGGCGGTCTCTGGCTCAGAGTCCCCAATACCTGAGGTAAACATGAAGCCAGAGAGGAGCGTGGCCCTGTCCAGGAAGTGGGGTGGCACAGAGCACAGGGTGGAGGGGCACAGGGAACACTGACTGACACAATGCCAGTTGGGAGATCAAGGTGGCCACCTACAGTCCATGTCTGCAGTGAGACTCGAGATGGGCAATTTCAGTCTGGTCTTCCCTGAATGCAGGCCAGTTTGGAGAAAAGCACAGACAAACTCCACCTGGGAGACATGTGACACAAAACCTGACCAATCCTTGTCTGAATGCTGAAGCCATCAAAAACAAGGAAAATCTGGGGCACTTGGCATTGCTAGGAGGAACCTTGGAGATAAAACGAGCAGGCGTTCTGGGTGACAAAGGACAGAACCCACTGTAACAAGCCACCCACTAAGGTGTCAGTGACAAAGGTCCCAGCACCTGAGAGACTAAGGCAGGAGGATCACCATGAGTTCAAGGCCAGCCTGGACTACAAAGCAGCCTGTGAGGGTCTCAAGAAACAACAAAAAAAACTTACAGGAGAGAGAAGTATCACAAAAATAATCTATAATATTTTATTAGCAAACACATCAGGTAAGGTAGAGTTTCTTCAAAGCAACCACAGGAGAATAATGATAACAAAGCAAGCCTTCAGCACACGACAGCACAGCACACCATGGCTCCCAGGGTGGATGTGGGCATTGGCCACGTCACTTCATGTACTTGTCCTGCTGGTCGGCCAGGATCTTGGCCGAGGACTTGGCATCATAGAAGAGCTCACTGATCTCCTCTACGTGCTCCTTCTCGATGCCATCCTTCCCGTTAATCTTGGCCAGCAGGTTGGCAGGGGTCAGCAGCTGTACCGAGTACCTGCAGGGGACAGGGCCTGGTGAGCCTAGGGGCACCCCCGAGGCCCCCCATCTGCAGGCAGTGCAGCCACTTGCTGCAGACACAGCAGGAAAGGAGAGTGAGGTACTGTTTCTGAGCACTGCAGTCACAACCCATCTGAGAGGGGAGGCCACCAGAGCGACACACATGCCACCCCCACACCTTCACCACAGCCTCAAGTTCTCCAGTGAAGAACGTCACTGTTTGCCAAGGTGCTGCAGCCTCTGGTGTGTGCAGTGTTGGGCAGGTACCATCCAAGACAGCAGGAAATTCACACTCAGCCAGTCGGAAGCCCCACCCACCCAGGCTGAGATTCCATGATGTCCAGAGGCAGTGGCTTTCTTCTTGGGAGTGCAACTGACCCGGACACTGCCTATGCTAATACCTTTGAGTCACAGGAACCCGAGTCTGTCTACTCACCTAACCCCTCCCTCTCCCTGCCTCTCCAGAGGACACCCCCTGCTCACTGGCTCTGGCTCCCTCCCGCACCTCAAACTTGAACCCCAGCAGCAGGCAGAGCAGCGTAACCTGTGCCAGGGCAAGCGGTGTCCTCTCACCTCAGCGTAGTCTTGGTGCCAATCTCACCCAGGTGGTTCAGTGCCTCCTCACTGATGTTGATCCCCTCAGTCTGGGCTCGGATTTTAATGATCTTTTAAAGGAAAAGAAATAATCAGCATTGGACTACTTTTGGTATCTCATCTACAGTAAGTCTCGATTTTGCAGGGCTGGGAGTAGAACCCAGGGCCTCACGAGTGCCAGGTCAGTGAAATGGCATGGGACTCAATCCAGTCTTACCAGGTGCCTGCAATGCTGTCATCTCACCCTGCACAGGTTGTAGGGCAGGAAGCTGGTAGCTGCACCCCTCTAGAGCATGTGCCACCTTCAAGTCTACCTGATGGTGGCACAGCTGGTGCATGGCACTCATCTGACTAAAGGTGAGCCCCAGCCTGCCTGGCACTGGGAGCCGGGCCCTCTTCCCAGCCTGCCCGCTGCCCCTACAGCTGTACACTTCCTCTCCAGCTGGGCATCACTGCCTAGCAGCACTCAGGTAAGAAGGGACATTTTTTATGTTGTTTGATAAATATGATAGCTAAATAAATCAAAAAAAGTTACTTTTAAAGATTCCCCAGCCTGCACAGCATCGCTGGGAGATATCTAATCTATCAAGAGGCGGCTGTGGCGGGATCCTGGCGGGCACAGGGTGGAGGCAGTGTGGTTGCCGTCACTCGGTGGCATGGGGTCTGCAGCACAGCCGCGCTGAGTGATAAGGGCCAGCAGGATAATGATGTTGTGTGTTGTGGAGCTGAGATAACTCGAGGACTTCGAGCCTCATATAATACAGGAATTTTTCACTCTGGCAGCTCCGTAAACAAGATATCAAGAAGCCCTTGTTTAAATTAAACCCATAAAAACAGCCGGGTGAGGCCCAAGAACTGGAAAGCTGAGTCCCAGCTCTGCCTCCCAGAAGGATAAGAGCCAAGTGCTGACCCAACCTCGCAGACAAGAGTCCAGGCTCCAGGACCCCTGGCTGGGAGTCCAGATGGGATGGGCCTGTCCTGAGTGCCAGGTCAGTGCCTTGGATCGGTGACCAAGGCCACCACAGCCTGAGGCGCTGCCAGCAGAGACTTCGCTTGGTTCACAGAGGATCAGAGGGCAAGCCCTGCACAAGACCCCTTGATTCCTGCACACTTCAGTCACCCAAGGGCCAGGTAAGTTACAGACTCTCATCATACATATCCCCAGGGGCTCAAAAGATCAAGCACTGTCGGACTTGAAGCCTGCACACCAGGAGCTCCCCACTAAGAGCTCCTCCCAGGCTGCAGGCTCCCTGGTTGATGACTGAAGCCAAAGGCAGCCAACCAGCACTGAGAAGACAGCATCCCCTGATGTATCCAAGGCTTCTGGCTGAGGCTTCGGCTCTGCAGGAACAGCACCCATGGGGATGTCCTGACATCCTGGGGAGACACATGTACTGAGCCACAGCACTTGGCCAAGGACAGCACGTTGGACCAAGTATGCCTGTCTGCAGGCTCCAGGGATAGCACAACGCACTGCTCCTTGCTCCCCTGACCTGTCACTCACTGCTTGGTCACCTGCAGGCACAGGGTATGGGGGCAGCAAGATGGAGCAGGGGGGCGGATGACACAAGCACATAGGGCTGGGCTGAGGTGACCACAGAGCTGGCAAGAAGAAAGCACAGCACTGACTCAGGTGGAGATGGCCTGGGGCGGCACAGGTCACTGCTGTGGGCATGGTACTTTACATCCTGAGGCAGGCTGTGCCATGGCTCTGGGCTTGAATGGATGGAGCAAAGCAATGTGAACTGGCATGGTAGGGGGTCCCATCTCTGTCACTCACTGTATGGCCATGAACCTGTATTTTTCAAGTCTCAAACCCTGGTTACTGTAACAAGGACCATGCAGGGATCCATGATAAGCATTAAGCCACTGACATCGCCAACAGCAGTGGCAGCAGGAAGAATGATGGTGCAGCCACTAAGTCCTGGTGACATCTCAGCAGGTGCCAGATCTCTTGCTGAGCAGGAGAGGGTTGAGGTTTAGAGATGCACCGGGTAGCCCAAGTCATTCAGAGGGTACAGAGGACCACAGGGCACTCTGAGGGCACCTGGCCTGCTGCAGGTGCAGGGCTGCCTCCTGTGGGACACCAGGGCTTCGCTGACTGTGACAGCAAAGTGCTCTGCAGCGTACTGAGGACTGAAGGTTCCTAGGGACAGTCGAAGACTCTCTGCTTCTGTCTCTGCCTCTGCTCAGTGGTCTCCTGGGATCCACCTGACCCTTGCCCGGAGCAGCAAGAGCCCCCACCTGGGGATGGGCCCAGAAGTCAACATCATCCCCTACTACAGTACACAGTGGCGCTACAAGCTTCACTGCCTCAACACCATCAGCCTGGTCTCAGAGGGGTCTGGCCCAGGAAACATGCACTAGCCTATCCTGGTTGCTGTCATAAGAAATGCCACACAGCCCAGCCAGCCAGGCCTCTAAGGGTGCTTGACAGCCCCAACAATTCCAAAGGCCCTACTCTCAAACTGCCAAGACAGCCCTCCTGGGGCACCTCCAGGCAGTGACCAAGAGCATGGAACAGAAGGCCTAAACTTCTGCCTCACCCCCATCACCTCCTGGCCACTAAACCTGGACAAATCACTCAGCTTGAGCTTCAAAGTCTTCTGTGGGAATGGAAATAGTGCTGGCCTCCTGGCATGGGATCACCAGGGAAGCAAGGGAACCATGCAGGCAGGCCTGTCCAGGGCTCAGCTCTATGCCCAGCAAGAAGCCCACGCCCCAGTGAGCCCTGGGGTCTAGGCACAGCGCACCAAGGACCATACAGCATCCACAGCTCCAAGTATGCCTGATCCTATGGAGAGAGACCCCAGGCAAGGGCAAGCAGAGCAAAGAGCTCCACATGTGCTGTCCTGTGGGATACCAGCCCAGGGACAGGACTTGGTCTGGCTTTGTGTACCAGCCATGCAGCTCAGTGGCCCAGCCATGGCAGGGGAAGTCCACAGTCATCTTGAGGAATACCTGGAACTACGGAACTCATGGGAGACCAGACATGCCAGCATTAGGGGCCCTGACGATAACAGGCACACAAATCAAGCAAGGGCCTCCTGTGAGACAGGACTGTACCCCACAGGACAGACTCAACCCAACCCCATCACTACCAGCCCAGGCCCAACCCAAGGCACTTGTGTGGCTCTGCAGAAGGCACTGTGTACTGGGCCCAGAGACATGGCCCAATGTCCAGTGTGAGGCTCTTCCTGCAAGGCCACAGACCTGTCTCAGGTGCCCCTCTGAGCCATGGGACGCTACTTCACCAAGATTGCTAGGGACCTGGTGGCAGCCCTCAGAAACTTATGCTGCAAAGCCACAGGCCTTGGCAGACCTCCTGAAACTGAGCACCGTCCAGCATGGCAGACAGATGCTACTACTAAGGCCCCTCCAGGTTCCCGGGCTGCATCCCACACCCCAAGAGCTGCCCGTGCCGTGCTCTGCTAAACAGAGGAGCACATGGCTCCATCCTCTGGGCAGAAGGGCATGGCAGGGTCTGGCTGGGGTCACACCAGACGACTTCTAAGTCATTGCCTCCCTTTGCCAGGGCCACTGGCCTCCCCAGTGACTGCCTTTAGGCCCTCATCTCACAATTCTTGTCCCCAAGCTCATCAGGAAGGGACTGGCAAGACAGATCAGCCACGCCCTGGTTCTATAATAACTCAACCATGTCCAGCCACTGCAACTGTCTTTCAGACAGGAGAGCTGGGCCTCGGAAGCTCACCTGTTTCATCTCTTGCGGTGTGTACAGCATGGTCCGGATGATCATCACACGGTCCAGGAGGTCTAGAGGGATGCCGTGTGGAGAGGTGATGTCCTCAGTGCCCCTGCAAGGGCCAGACACAGTCCCATCACTAAGTTTCTCCAAGATAGGACACTGGACCCTGGATTCCAGAGTGGGCACCTTGACCACAGGGCAGCTGGTCAGTATCCGAGAACCAGAGCCAGGCACAAGGAAACCAACAGACATGCAGGCAGCCTGAGCAAGCATCTCCATCCACTTAGAAACTACCCAGGATCACAGGAAATTTGGCAAAAAGCAAAAAACACAAGAAATCATCCTTGGCAATAATCTAAGGTACTCAAAAAGCTTTCATATATGCATTTTCACAGAGAGACTAAGCATACATATGCTTTTGGTCTCAGTTGCTTCAGTCCTAATAATCTTTTCTTGACTATTTACCTAATAAAGGATCAAGTACGGTACTGAACCCCAAGTGCTGAGCATTGTATAGCTTCCACTGTTGCAGTTACATTACCAGTGCACACAGCCAAGCACATTTCCCCTGCCTGCTGCAGTGCCAGACAGGACCCCAAATAGCCATGTGAATGAATGTGCTGCTGTCCTAAACAATGAAAAGGGTCTGGGATATAGCTACGTGCAAAAGCTCTCAGGTCAATTCTCAGTACTCAGTAGACAGTCACAATAGATAAGACAGACAAATAGACATATATAAATTGGAGGGTTTTATTTTGTTTGTGGTGTTGAGATCAAAGCCAGGGCCTGTGCATGTTAGGCAGGGTCTCTACCACTGAGTTACATCCTAGTCCAAAAAACTGGAGTTTTAAATCAAAATTTAAAACTTGTATGTGACACTATCCAAAAAATGAAAAGACTACCCAGGGAATGGAAGAAAATATTTACAAACCACAGACATGACAGAGGTCTAGTATCCAGAATATACAAATAATTCTTACAACTCAATAAAAAGATTAATCTTCTAATAACAAATGGGTAAAAGATTTGAACATTTTTCCAAAGAAAATACACATATGGCTAATAAAATACAATAAATAATGTTCACCAGCAATAAGCACCAGGAAATGCAAACCCACGACATCACTTCACACAAGGGCAAGCCAAGTGCACAGGCAGCCTGGGCCCCAACCGGTATCCTTGGTCTCTACCTCTGACCATTGCATAATTCCACAAAAAAAATGCTGCTACACAAGAGTGAAGGGACTCATTTGAGGTCACGCAATCCCACAGGACCAATTCCTATGCCACTTCCTGTGGAACCTGGCTCACACTTGGATTCACACCCCAGGAAACACAAGCCACCAGGGCACAGTTCGGCCAAGGCTCAGCTCATAAGGGCCACTGAGAGCCAGGAAGATGACAAGAAACCAGAGGCAAATGGAGTGCAATGGCACGAGGGACACCGTGATGGCTGTGTACACAGTACCCAGAGTTCTCTGATGCTACCTCCATGCAGCACCACCTCCTAGCTGGATCCCACTCACTACCTGGCATGACAGCTTGTTACCAGGAGATGGCCTTATTAGCCCACAACACATCAAGCACCTTGAGGTCACTTGAGAAGACCAGGAGGTCCTCAGGAAGTGTCATTTCGTTTTCGAACTCTAGGGGGAACACTAGCAGGGGGCAGGCAATGGCAGCTTATCAGATGTTGCCCAGATTTATCAGTGTTCCACAAAGTTTGTTACAGCACATCCTACCCAGTCTTATCGGGAGCCTGGACTGTGTGTGGCATCACCCTGATGCTTCTGTCCCTCCTTGTAGTATGGGTGTCTGAGACACACAGAGTACTCCCCATAATGTGAGTAGGTTTTTTTTTTTTTTTACCATGACTGTGTTGTCATCATTAGTACTAGGACTTAGTTTCCAAAAGCATTCAGTACCAAGATCCTTTACTAGAGGTCTACAGCTGACCAGAGCTTCATATCCACTGGCCAGGTCCTCAGATCAAAGCCACCTTCCTGTGCCCCTTGTCCTGGGCAGGGCTAATGCCCATAGGACCTGGCATCTACCAGGTTATGGGGGGGGGCGCCTATAAGCACAGCCCACCAGCAGGGGGCACCACATATCCATGCTGAGCACCTTACCAGCTGAGCTGCCACATGGGAGCCAGGTCTGACCCAGGCCAGGCAAACCCAACAAGTCTAACAGGTCACCTGACACAAGCTGCCTTCTCCAAGATGGAAAGAAACATCAGCAGGAGTGATCCTTCTCAGGGCCTCGGAGTGGCATCCAGGATGCCACAGGGACCCAGATGAAGTTTTTGTTTTGTTGGTACCGGGGATCAAACTCACGACTGCATGCTTGAAGGCAGGTGCTTATGCTGCTGAGCTAAATCCCCAGCCCTAGATGAGGTATTCAGATCTCAACTGCCAGTGGGAACAGCCCTGGGGGACCAGCAGAATAGTCATCCTCTGTGGGCCACCTGAGCTAGCTGCTTGGGATTTGGTCAATGCCTCCATCAAAAGCTCATGACATTCTTAGATACAGTCCCTCAGCCACAGGTGACCCAGGCAGTCAGCAGCTCTAGCTTTAGCTATCCTGAGATACTCATTGATGGCAGGGTCCTCATCCTCAACCCGCTCTGGTGCAGGTTTTGGAAGAGGCCCTTCCTCACCAGGCATAGTGGTGCATGCCTGTATTGTCTGGGCTACAAAGTGAGTTCAACGCCAGTCTGAGCTGCAGAGTGAGACCCTGGTTCAAAAAGACTAAAAAGAGAGGCCCTTCCTGCGCTGCCCTGCAGAACACCAGTACTCAGGTCCTCCTAGGCCCACAGAAAGCTCAATGAGCAGTAAAACTGTCAAGTTCCAGGAGCACGGACACCAGGGCTTGACAGATGGGGGAGATGGTGGGCTCTCTGGGGTTTGGGGCCCTTCAAAATACTTAGGAGAAGCAGGACACATGAGACGTCTGCAGCTGCAGCTGGGCCTGGAGCACTCAATACCCAGGGCCAAGAGCAGTCACCAAGGGGGCCTGCGTGGAGAGGCAGGAAGCTTCACGGTGGCTCAGGGCAGCAATCAGGTAATCACAAAGACCCTTAATGACAAGGGACAAATTACCATGCTGCTCAGTTTTCTCACCTGAAAATGAGGACAACAAAGCTTCTCAGAGTTAGACCTAGGATTCAAGAGACTGGCACAGAAATTATCAACAGCCACCTCACCTGCTCTCAGCTTTGCACAGCCAATGAAATGACCAAATCTTAACACCTCACAGTCACCCTGGGACCATGTGAGAGACCCTCTGGTCAGTGTGGTCACTGCCCCAGTGACCATGCTGAAATGAGGCTGAGGACTAGACACTGTGGCATGTTCTCTTTTCAAAAGCTAGCCCATCCCAACCTCATGACATTCAGGGCTACACAAAGGGCCCAAGGAACCCAGGAGCCCAGGAGCCCAGGCAGAAGTGGCCACCCACCTGATGACACAGTTGCCACGGTTTGACGCAAAGATGACAATGGGGGCAATGGAGGACTCCAGAGCGCGGTGCAGGTAGGTGAAGCACTCGATGTCCAGCATGTGGACCTCATCCACAAACAGCACGCCCGGGACCAGCTCCGCGATGCCCTGATCGATGTACTTGTTTACCACCTTGTTGATCTCCCCTCGAAGTTTGTCTGGGAGATGACAGGGTGGGTGGGGTCAGCCCCTGCAGGAAGAGCTACTTTTCTTCCCTACCCTTCCCAGTCTAACCCAAACCCTGCAGCCTGGGCTCCTACAAGCTAGGTGGCCCAGGCAGGGTCTGCCCCACTCCAGGATTCAGTGTCACCATCTGAAAATGGGAAGAATCCCACCTAATGGTCACAGCCTTCCCTGAAAATGAGTTCACTTAAGTCTGCAAAACAGCTTTCACAAGATGATTTTGCAGAGGACAGCCTTCAGGCCACCCTGCTGCCTTGCCTCACAGCACCTGACCTGTCACACTCCCTCTGTGCCTTATTATCTCCCAGCACCCATCTCACTTCTGATCCTGACAAGAGGTGGGGAGCGCGTGAAATGAGTTTTCATATGCAAATTTCCCTGTCCCTCCTCAGTCAATGATGGGTCCATGGTTAGCCCCATGTAACAAAGCGCTGGTTAATTAACTTTCAATCAAGTGCAGACAGACTGCTCCGGTTAAGGAGGCCTGGAGGGCTGAGAGCTCTTAAAAAAGAAAAAAAAAAGGGGACAAGGCTCTCAAAAGTTACTTCAGGTCACAGCCCTCATTTTCCAAGCCAGCTCCTGTGCTGTTCACAAAGAAACAACAGGAAGACCTGATACAGCGGCTTCGCTAGGCCTTGGACAGGAACTGTCACAGGGCCCGTGTGCTACCCCATGCAGAAGAAGCCACAAAAGGTCCCCCAGCTGCTTGCCGGCTACAGTCTCAAGGTAATAGTGGCTTTCATGTTCAGCCAACATTTTAAGATGACAAAATTCCAGGTGGTAATAAGAGAGAAAAGGGCTTGAAGCTGGGGAGCCAACAGGTCAGTAAGGCCCACCCTGGAGCTGGTGTTCACTGTGGAGCAGTGCCTGGAAGCTGGCAGGTGGTAGAGTGGGGAAGAAGGGGCACCACATGTCTGGGACCTCAAAGAAAGCAGAAACTAAGGTGGCTGAGAGGTCAGAGAACACCACGGCTGATGGCTCGAATTCTGGGGAAGAAGGTGCTTCAAGTGGCACAGGCCAGGTCAGGGTGCCCTCCCAGGGCCACAGTACACACTGGGACCCAGATCTGCCCATCACCACCTGCCCAATCGGCCCTGCTTCAGGCTCACAGTCGCGTCATGTGCCCCACCTGTGATTTCTGTCTTCTTCGGCTTCATCAGCTGGCCCATCATGGACAGGATGTCTTGGCCACCCTGCCAATGAAACACAGCAGTTGGCCTCACTACTGCAAGTTCCTAAGTTAGCTCCATGTGGATCCTGCAGTGTAGACACCAATACACCTCCCCTGGGAGGCCTGAGGAGCCTCTGGACTCAGAAAAATTTTTAGCAATAAGGCTCAAATGTATTTCATGGGAAGTAAAAGCCAGCTCGCTCCCAATCCTTCCCCTTGACTAGCCATGCAGCACTTTGAACGCTTCCCCGGACTCCCATGAGTTTAGACTTAGAGCCTTTGCAAATTCCAGTGCAGTTGAGGCAAAGGCACACTCTTTCCTGGGAAGCTCAAGTTCTTACTAATAGTCAGGCCCAATGCCCTCTGGGCCCATGTCCCAGCCCAATGCTCCTGCTCCCTTGGGAACTAATGGATGGTCAAGAGTCAGTGTGAAACCCCACTGTAACCTATGGCCTTCCCTCCTTTCCTAAACTCAGTCTCGGGGTCCCTGCAGGATGGCTGCCCGAGGGACCAGTTCATTATCCACCTTTGTTCTCCTGCCAGCTCCAAAAAGAGCAGGGATCATCTGGGGGTCACAGGCCACAGGACTCAGGTAGCTCACTAAATGCTCAACACTAAGGAAGCAAATGTTTCCTAGGTCTTCACATCTGACTCTCAAAACAGCTCTGTTCTCTAGGAAGCAGCATAAGATCACTGAGTCTCAAATCTCAGAAAGCCCAGAGACCCAGCTTTGTGGGTAGTGACAGGGCTACTGGCTTCCCCACCCCACTCCAAGGCCTCTGGACTCATCTGGGAGACTCATGACCCACCTCCCCAGGGGGCCTGCTGGCCCATAGCAGGTGCCAACAACCTGAAACCCATCAACCCTTCCCTGCAAGTGAAGAGATGGCCTTTTAGGGTGAAGGTGAAATCAAACTGAAAGGCCACCAGCAGAGAGCAGCTGTGCTTCTCTGCTTTGAGTCACATATTTTCCAGAACTGCCATAGACAATGCACACTTTCCCACATTTTATTAGCAAGGTATAAGTGTCCTTCTTGTCTAGAGGTACACACCACAGTTCTAGCTCAAAGCCAAAAATCTCGAGATTTCACTCAGTAGAGACAGAAATGCAGCTGTCAGGCTTTCCAAAATCCTGTACAGGACCCAAGAACACTCTACCCTCTGCCAGGAATACCTGGAGCTGCCAGTCTCCAGCCTACTGCTGGAGAGCAGCCACGAGGCCACTGGCTGGCAAGCTCGGGCCAGGGGGTTGGCTGGGACAGGAACAATGCGCACGAAATCATCTGTGACTCGTGCATTTGAATCAGAACAAAGGAGCCCTGCATAGCTCATGTTGATGTTAATTGCTGAACATCACAGACAGAAAAGGCCCGCCTGCCTCCCAAAGCGGCAGTGAGACTCCGACAGTTTACTTCCAGAGATTCACAGCCCACACACAAAAGCCTGAAGTGCTAGTCAACCCAGCAGAAGCGATGGAATACACACTCGTACCTGCGGCCGTGCATTGGCCACATCCAAGTCATGTAAGGTCACATCCTGAATGATTTCCTTCTTCTTATGCACGTCCCCCTTCGGTAAGGGCACATATTCTTCAGCCTCAAGGTCAAATTCTGTGGCATAGGTGTCGCACCTGCCCTGCCTCTGCAGAAAGAGAAACACAAGTGCCCATGAGCTTCCACTGCCAAGGCCCCAGGTGGCACAGTGCTAAGTGAGATAAAGGTCTCAGTTCCCAGCAGCGGGCCCAAGAGCTCTTTGACAAACTCCAAATATGTCCCACACCCCTGCTGCCAGGAGAAGTCAGCTATCAGCTCATCGGCGGGCTCCAAAACTCCAGTTGAGAAACACCTGATACTTTCTCCAAGAATCTCTCCCCTCTTTCTTTTAACCGTATGCAGTTCCTGATAAAGGGCAAATCCAAGAGATTAACTGGAGACAGAGGGAGCTTCTCAGGCTGCTTTGTAGGTGGGTGATTTATCGTATGATATGAAATATTATGCTCATCCATTAAACCGTGAGCGAACTATAAGGACACTGGGGATCAGATAGAGAAGGGTGCCAACTAGCACAGTGCTCCTCCCCACATGCAAAGATCTCAGGAAGGAAACACCAAAGCGATAAAAAGGAGATTAAATGCACTGCACATTTCAATTTGAAAATGACTAAAGTTGTTTTGGTTTCTCACTCTGTACTCCCCCTCTAAGCAGGCTTTAGGGTTTTTCTAACAGACCGTTGATCGTGAGAATGTTAAAGGAGGAAGGTAAAGGAAAGCAAAGTTTTTTCTGTGTAAGGGGCAGTTGCTAAGCCTGGCTCTGCAGGGCACTGATGCCAGCCCCTCACATCTGTGCCCTGTGCAAGGGCCCCTTAGCACCCGGGCCCCTTCTGCAGACACGGTGTCTTACCTTCACGGCACCACTATTGGCTTCGATGTAAATCACATCTCCAGCCTCCACTCGCTCTTTCTGCAAACTTTCAAAGATGCTGGGGTCCAGCTGAAACAATGAGGGGCACTCAGAGAGCTGTAGCGCACATTCCATTTCCTTCTGACCCCTTCCGGGGAACTTTCCGTGACAGCCAGTACCTGTATGGAGCGCGTCTCCCTATCTGGGATGCCAGAGCCCGAAGTGCTGAGCAGATAAGCACGAGAGGCCCAGGATACTGCTCTCCTTCCTCTCCCCTCCACCCCCCAGAGGTTGGAAACTGACAGGTGGATTTTTTCTCATTTTGCTGGATTGCAGTACTGGGGATTGAACTCAGGGCGCCTCAGCATCAAGCTAGGCTTTAAGCCCTTTTTTATTTTTCTGAAATGTTCTCACTCAGTTGCTAAGTTGCCCAGGCTAAGCTTGAATTTATGATACTCCTGCCTCAGCATCTCAGAGGTCTGCAATTACAAGTACGCGCCACAACACCCAACTAACAAAGGGCTTTAAAAGACGACTTTGGCTGCCTTTGGAGGGGCCCACACTGCCCATGGGTTCCTGCCCACACCCTCTGGCGAGCACTGTCCCTGCTCCCCTCCCTGTTCTCCCCACCCAGGTTTGGGGGTGTACTCTCCCCCAGTGAGGCAACTGCTGGTGGTGTAATGGTCTCCAGGCAACAGCTGCAGGCTTGTGTTGCTGGACCAGGCTCTGCCCTGGGTTCCCCATCTACATAGCAGCACCAAGTGTAATTCCAGGGGGGCACAGCCCAAAAGGAAGCATGTGCCAGCAACCTCTTAGCCAAGGACCCGAGTCCTCTGCATCCACAGCAGGGCTGCTTTTCCCAGCCCCCCAGAGTTACGCCCCGGGGGCAGCTCCCTCACTAAGGACCCAGCATTTAATGCAAGTTTCTCCAGATTAAACTTCAAGGAGAGCTGTATTATATAATAGGGCTGTGGTAGGAAACACTTGGACTCTGCCCCAAACAAAATTAACGAGGAAAACCTGGGGCTGGCAAAAGCAGCCAGACACAGAACAACGCACACTGTATGATTTCGCTTCCTGGACGTCCCCTAGAAAAGCTGGTCTGCAGAAAAGAAAGTACATCAGTGGTTGCCCAGGGCTAGGGCTGGGGACGGGCAGTGCCTATTACTGGAAGCACGTTTCTTCTGGGAGTGGAGAAAATCTTCTAAAATTAGATTGTGGCAATGGGTATATGACTGTGCAAGTAATTTAACATTCCCTAAACTGCTTAAAATGGGCAAATTGTACACAGAATTGTTTTTCAACAAAGCTGTTCCAAAGCCATTGTCCCAGCAGCAGACTAGGCACCCTCCTTTGGCTGGCTGTGTGGCTTTGGGACAGTGCCCGGCTTCCCAGAGCAGGCATGGGAAGGGCAGGCGAGACATCAATGCTGGTCTCCTTGCTGAGCTGCAGAAGCTACTCACAAACTCAAATACATTTTGAGGTCCTTCTCTCCTGACACCTTTTACCTATGCTAAAAGTACACAAAAGTATTCATTTTAGAAGGAAAATTTATATTCTTCTTTGTTATTTTCTTAAATATACTATGCAAAGCAGTTAAAATTTAAACCGCATTCCTTTAGACAACACTGATAACTGTACTTTTTTTTTTCTTTTTCTTTTTGAGACAGGGTCTACTATGTAGTTTCAGGCCAGCCTTGAACTCACTATGTAGCTCAGGCTGGCCTCACAACAATCCTCCTGCCTCAGCCTTCTAAGTGCTGGGATTACAGGCATAAGCCACCAGACACTGCTGCCTGGAGCATTTTTATATCGGTTAATTTCCCAAATGAACTGACTAAAGAGGTAAAGGCTGAAAGGTGGAGTATCCCTACTAAGGGATCTAATTAATGCCATTGGAGTGACAAGGGGGAGGTATAAAAGAGATGCCTAGGGCAAGCTCCTGAGAGGGAGGTCCTGTAGGAAAAAGAAAAATGGCCCACTGAGCAAGTGATGTTTTTATGATCTCCATAAAGCAGTGACTAAGAAACAACCTCACAGAATCAGAGAACCATAAAATCACAGTACAGAGTAAAGATGGAGAAATTATCTATAGCAGTTTATAGATGAGAAAACTGAGTCCCAGAGAGTGCAGATGACTTTTAGAGTTGCATGGCAGCTGGCAGGCAGACAGCCCTACCCCTGAACCAGCTGTGCCACTGCAGGGTGACCTTCATCTCTGGGAGCCCTGGTCCCTCACTTGTGGACAAGGAAATGAGATACACATGTATGCACATGTAGAGCTATAAATGACATTACATGCAATCTTTGTGGAAGCTCTTACCCCATGCCTGGCACACAGAATAAATGAGAGGTAAAGTGATAATGTCAAATATTAATAATAATAACAATAATAATGAAGAGTCTACAGTCCCAATCACCCCATTTCTCTCCCTGAAGGCTCTCATCAAAATTCCCACTGCAAGTTATGAGTTCTGTCCTTGTAACTGTGAGATAAGCAATCATTACTCCCAGTTACCACAGGGAGAGGCATTGGTCAGAGACCAGGTTGCTTTCCTAATGCCACAGAGCTATGGTAGCACAGCCAGGATCCCCACAAGAATGATGCCAAAAGTCACGCTGTTCCCTGGGGTGCCTGCTGCCCACATCTTGAAGGTTCATGGGATGATGTCTGAGGAAGGTCCCCAACAGGTCTACAACATCACCTCTCTACAGGGCCTGACTCAGGTTTCTAGGCCCCATGTAAGTAACTAGTTAGGAGTCTATGGTGGCCCCAGGGAGCTGTCTGTCCCCTGCCATCACTGCCATGCTTCCTGTGCCATGCTTCTGGCACACTTCCTGTGCCAAGTGAGCACTGGAAACTGGGAAAACTAAGGCTCAGGCTCAGAGGAAGGCCCAGGCCTCCAGCCACAGTCATGAGACAGGGTACAGGTTGGCAGAGGTGATCCTTTGCTTAACTGCCAGGTAATGTTTTCACATACACACATGAGTGAATAACAAAATGAGTAAGAAAGGTAAGCCATGGGCAAGCGACTATAGTCCCAGCTGCCCAGGAGACTGAGGCAGACAGATCACAAGTTCAAGGACAATCTGCGCACCACCTCAAAAAATAACAAAGTTGGGCCAGGGATTTAGCTCAGCAGCATAAGCACCTGCTTTGCAAGCACGTGGTTGTGAGTTCCCAGGTACAAAAAAAAAACCCAAAACCAAAAAAGAGTAATAAAGAGCTATCTTCAGTAAATCCTCTTGTGTCCAAGCCCTATGCTGGCTCCTGCTTTATACACATACAATTCTCCAACTGCTCCGCAAACCACAATGCACAATGCCCAGGATGCAGACAGGTCACACCGTCCACTGAAAGCCACACTGTGCCAAGAGATTCAAGAGAACAGCACCCATGGATGGTGCCCACCTTCAGCTGCTTGGTGCCTTTGGCAGTCTTGAGCCCTATGATCACGTGGCTGATGGTTTTGCCATACCCCCCCATAGGGTTTTCAGTCTCACACGGCGTCAGCTCGGTCACTTCACCTTCATAAACCTCCTTGGTCTCCTTTATCCGGAGTCCTGGAAGGGACATAGATGGGTCACGGTGAGCAGCACAGCCCTCTCCACACAATCCATCGATAGCTCACTTATAAACTCTTTAGCCCAAACCTCCTGTCATAGGGAGGCAAAGAGACCTTAAGAAAGTACACAGAAGGTGCCACCCAATGTTGACTCCTTGCCTACGGTGCGCAAGGTCTGGCTTTGGTTTCCTGAGCTGCAAAAATAAATAGATAAATAAAAATAAAGAGCTGTAACTTCGAGAATGTCACCGTAGGCAGAAAAGCAATAAACACAAAAACACAAATTGGAGCCACTGCTATTCAGAAATGTAGGAAAGCAACTTCATTTCAGCTTTTGAAGGAACTTTCTAGATTCAGATTTATGATTCTAGAAACTGTCCCAGACCCCAGAGGGTGATATGTAGCATTAGCTGCTCACCCAGTCTCTCTCCACAGCAGGTAACACTACTGGTTAGTGACACCTTAAGGGCCACCTTTCACCCTGAGTTAGACTCAGCAAACTCTCACTCACCACCTCAGCCCCAGTTGAGGGGACACAGAGGCCAGCAGGACCCATGCCCAGAGGTGACTCCAGACAGTCAGCATAGGCCCTGGCTTAGCCCACTGCATCCCCAAAGGTACTGGGCTTTGGTCACTGTCTACACTATGGTTCTGCAGTTCCCCAAGACGTAACAATAGTGCTTATCCCCAAAGTAAGTTGTTGCATTTGAATATGGTAACTGAGGAAATTTCTCTCTGAATTTCACTCTGAATATCATCCACATTAGTTGTTTAATTTGTGTTTTCTGGTTATCTAAGAACTGTGGTCTCCATTCTTTATACAATGTCTTTGCTGCCCAAAACCCTGGGCACCTCTCTGCAGACTCGGTGTAGGGTACACAGTATCCCCTCTGGAGCTACCTTACCTGTCTTTCTTGGGCATTCTCCACGTCGCCCTCCAGAAAACCTACATGCCCAAAGTACAGGGCCACAGTAATGCCATGACATGTGTCCCTGACCACTCCCCATAACCATCCACACCAGAGCTTAGGGCCTAGCAGCATGTAGCAGGCACACACGGATGGACAAGTGAAGGAAGTCACAGAGCAAGGGCACTGTCACTTGGCACTCTTAACACCCAGCAATGCATCTGTACATAATTCCTCCTTGCCCACCCACAGCCCCAGGGCTCAAAGGAAGCAGCCATGTGAAATCCAGGTCCCTCTGGACTAAACCTCTTCATCCCTCCATTAGACCCTAATATCTACCCTAAATTGAGAAAAGGGAATAGGATCTTTCTAACACCTCAGCCCAGTCATCAGTCACCGTAGGTGTTCAACAGGAAGACAAAAGCACAACACCAAACATGCTTCACTGAACACACACCTCACACCCACCTCACACACATGCATGCACACACATACCCTCTCTTCATAACCCCCAAGTCCAAGCCAAGGAAATAAAACAGCTTCCTCTGAGGCTATGCCAAGCCACAAGTGAATTAGCAACTATTACATCTATTCTCAAAAGATTCTAAACACCCACTGGTGAGCCCCACCATGCCATGCCAGCATGCACCAACACTGCCAGGGCTGAACTGGAAGATGTACAGTGGAAGATCCCTAAACTTGCAAGCAAACAGGCAGACCACACCCAGAGTCATAACATACAAACTTCTTCTGGCAGTGGGCTCTTCATCCTTCCCTGGAGGCCCCAAAGCAGCAAGAACCAGAGGTGGGGCCTGCAGCTTAGCCCCATGACACTGCTAGGCTAAGTGCCCAGCTACATCTGTCTCACAGTGAGAAAAGCCAGTCCTTTCCTGCCCCTTGACAGACCTGGGCTTCTGGTCATGAGATTAGGGCCACCCCCTGGCCCAATCCCAAGGCCACAGCTCTCTACCAAGGCTGTTCCACAATCTTGCTCTGTTTTTTGCCCCCTCCTGGTTGACACATGGCCAATGACCTCTCCATTCCCTTCCACTAGCCCAGGGGTATGACACTTGTCTCCATCTCATTTACACTGTGCCCCAAGGGGAAAAAGATTGAAGTTAGATGCCAACCAATCTGTTATGCACATGATTGTCTGTGTCTGGATTCAGGCGAGTCTCTAAACATGCTAGACCACTCACAAGACAATGGAAAGCCAAGTGTGGTGTCAAACCCTGTAATATCAGGGCTCAGAAGGCTGAGGCAGAAGGCACAAGTTTGAGTCCCATCTGGGCAACTTTCCAAAAGTCTGCCTCAAATTTTGTAAAGTGTAAAAAGGGTTGGGATGCAGCTCAGTGAAAAGGAACTGCCTTCAATTCCCAGCACTGAAATAACAAATAAACACCACCCCTCACTTGTTAGGACAGCAGAGATGGTAACCAGAAGTGGATGTAAAGGTGCTCAGGAGTACAGATGACATCCTTTCTAAAGTGGGTTCTCAGGGTACTCACTTTATGGGAACCCACCAGGCTACCTGTCATGCTCTGGGCAGCCATCTTTATGTCTACACAAGGTTACCAGGTAGAGAAACAATCAAGGAAATAACACTGTGGGACTTGGCAAAGGAGGGACACAGATTGCTTGGGTTACAGACATGACTCTTGGCCTCTGCTGGACTCAACGGAGTTGTGGTGCCCAACCTCCAAACCCACCTGAGGGGCACCTCCCATTCCCATGTCCACGAGTCTCTGGGCTTGGGTTACCAGCCCTCTTGGCTCACAGTTCCCTGGCAGATCCCAAAGCCCACCTGGAGTGAGAAGCCCTTATCTAAAGAATAATGAAGAACTCTGTTCTTGACACAAGGGGAGACAGAGGCTGCTCCTGATATCGGGATGCCCTGATGTGGTTCTGGTGTCCCCACCACTAAGCTGCCTCTTCCTGATAGAAAAGCATCCCGCATGGTGCCAGGCACTCCGGGCACTCCCCACTTTACCTGCAAGTTATCTTATCATGCAGTGGGTGTCTTTTCTCCCCAAGAAACCTGATCAGGACAGAGGCATTTAGATAGTAAAGAGGAGGAAAAGTTTCCTCCGTCTGATAGCTATAAATGGAGGTTTTGGAATAGTCCCAAAAAACAGAACAGATTTCATTTCTGCTTTACCAAGTCCTCTTGAGGAACAAGACAAAAATATTCCCCAACAATGTGAATCTTCGCAAATACAAGATTATGACCAACTTGCAAAATTACTTTTAAAGAAAACTTGAGTTTAAAAAAAAAAAAAAATCAAACCTTTACAGCCCAGAGAGATAAATTCTTGTGCTGGAATGCTCACCCGTATCTGACACGAACTGCCTTGGGCCGGGGAAAAAAGGCATTCCCATCTCTCACTAGCCCTGGATTTGTTTAGAAGTTGCTCGTGCTGACAAGCAGCCAGGACTCGCACGAGGACAATGGGACTGGCTGTTAGCTAGGAAAGGGGCCGAGCTGGCGCTATCTCTGGCAACGACAACACAAATGACACAGGTTTCATCTGCTGGCTCAGGTTTCTAAATCCCTGACAGGGACCTTCATCATGTCAAGGAAACAGCACAGACTGCCGGCTTTTCATTTCTGGTGGGCTCACCGCTTCCTCCCACTCCTGCCAACCGCGAAGGAATTCAAAGGCGGGAGGTGGAAACCGGACAGCGGCTACTCTTTCATACTGTGACAGGATCAAGGAATTTCTCTTCACCTTGCTGCCCTCAAAGAATCACACTGTCCTTTCCCTTCCAAAAATGGCAAATGGCAGCCCGATACCACAGTCATTTACAGTGGAAAGCATTTAAGCTACCTTTAAGCAATCTAAACACAGGTACCCCTCTGAAGGCTAGTTTTGTTAGATTTTATCACTGTCTGAAAATTGGTTTCTAAATAATTATTTAAAATATTCGGACATCCAAATCGGTCATAACAGTTTATTATTTATCACTTAATGACAAGACTGATGAAAACACTGGCATACATTTAAAATCTCAAAGTCAGCTGAGATGGTGGCTGCACACCTGTGGGTCCAGCAATATAACACCACCTCAAAAAAAGTACTCAAAAAGATTTGAAACCTTTGTTTCCTTTTTTCTTTTTAATTTAGACACCGGGTCTCCCTACAGAGCCCAGGTTGGCCTTGAACTTGCAGCAATCCCCCTGCCTCAGCCTCCTGAGTACTGATTTTAAACCCTAGGGAGTTCTGAGTCATTTCTATTGCTGTTCCAGGTTAAGTGTAAGACTCCACAGGATACAATACACAGAACAATGTAGGCTGAAGGTAACAGAAATGTTTTGTTAAAGAGTCAAACATGAAGAACATACACACTGTGATTTCATTTAAAATAAGTATAAATGAATTCCTTGTCACTACCCACCTGGCAGAGAGGACTGTAACCAGGGAGGGTGGTAACACTGAGGTTGCCAGCTGTGCTCTGAGCTGCATTGTGACTGCATCAATGTTTACTTCATAATTAGCTAATATTTTACATGCTTTTCAGGTATTTGCTACATTTAAACTCATCAAGTAGCAAAAAAAAAAAAAAAATCCCTATATCCTGGTAAAAGATATTTCCAATAAAAAAATATTTGGTAGTTTTTGAATTAAGTCTACATCCAAAATGACACTGCTCTTACTAGTACAAGCAGTTCACTGTCTCTGGTCACAACAGCAGCCTTGCACACACAAGGCCTGGGCTCCAACGCCGGCACCACAAAATAGTAAGCAAGAAATGGAGTACAGTGTGTTAATGCGCATGGGGACCTGGTGGGAAGATAGAGACAACTGCGGCGCTGGGGAGGGAGGTGCCCTGGGAGCCGCACCCACAGGACCTTGGTGCACGGCCAGCCATGTCCTCTAGAGGCCGGCAGTGGTGCATATGACATCAGCCAGTGCCCAGACTCACAACTTATTCTCATTTTACAAGATGTATGCAGGTCCACAAGGAGTGTCTGTCACTGCAAGCAATCATCTGCCATAAATTTCTCTGCTTCAGGGTCTACCTGCTTGTCTCTTTAAGCTCGAAAACCTCACTGGACACCCGCTCTGCACCAGAACTGGGGCTACATGACAAATAGAGTCCCCTACACCCTAGCAGCCACGGCTCCTCCCCATGCTTTCCCATTTCCCAAAGCAGCCCAACCTAGCATCTCCCTGGCTCCTTGCTCCTCCGGCCGCATACCTAACCCTTGAGGAAATCCTGCCAGCTCTCAGTCTCATGCAAATAGATCTAAAAGCACCTCTACTGTCACCACCCCAGATCACGCCCCTACCAAAACCTGCTCATGCTCTCTGTCCTCAGTCTATCCTCACCCTCCTGCCTAGCTCCAACACAGGGCATCTTATCAGAGGCCAGATCCCATGGGTCCTGGGCCTCTTCAGCTGCTTTCCCAAAGCCCTACTAAGCGAGAGTTTACCAGTCTTCCATTCTCATCACTTGCATGTTTTCTAGGAAGTTTCTATCTTCTGAATGCCAACCTTGGTAAGGGACTGTAATGTTTACGGGCGTCCGAGACAGTAAGCCCGCAGTAGACCTTATAGACTCATGCACACGGGCCCAGAGACAGGCTTGACATTTCTTGGCTGCCTTGTTTTGAAAAGCAAGAATTGAAGAAAACAAAAAACTACCTTCCATTAAGATGTGTAAGATAAAAGGGCTATCATTCCACAGTAAGGGAGTAATTATTTTTATTAGCAGATCTGAGGGAAGTTAGGGTTTGCTCAGAATTAGACCAGCAAAAAAAGGCTGCAAGACTGACAATTCTCTCCTCACAGTAAACCTTCAGTGCTCAGAGCAGAACCAGACAGGAGGGTTGCTATTTACCACCCAGGTCGCTAGCAAGTTCTTTAACTTTCAGAGGCTTATTTACTTTCTTTCTTCCTTTCTTTCACTTTTCTCTTCTCACCAGCACTGGGGATGGAACCCAAGCGTGCTACACCAGCCATACTAGTGTCTTCATTTGGAGGCAGAGAAGGTCCAAACTGGTCTAGAAACTATAATCATCCTGCCTCAGTCTCTGGAGTAGCTAGGATTAAAGACACGCACCACCAGGCCCAGGCTGTGTGGTTTTTTTTTTTCCAAGCAAATGCAGATTGACCCCTTTTGGTAAAGGAGCAAAAGCCTGGCAACACCCTGGAAGCCCCAGGCCCAACAAGGGAGCACCACAGACAGAGGGCTCTGCCAGTGGTCACACAGCACCTCCTTTCTAAGGCCACTTCACCTGGCTTGCCACCGAGCACCACAGGATTCTGGCAGCCTGGCAGATGATAGTGCCAGATCAAGTCCCATTCTTTTCAGCAGACAGTCATTTCTCAAAGCAGAAGAGAGCTGCCAAGGAAATCAAACTTGTTCCTAAAAGGCCATTTTACAGCCACACTGGGAAAGGACTTGCTGGGCAGAAGCCCAAGGCCTGTATATGCTAAGTACATGATCTAGCCCTCAGCTACACACCACGCTTAACCAGTGACTCATCTGACCACATCGAGAAGCTCAGTCCCATAACTGGGGTCCACATGCACTCCAATGTCACACCATCTCAAGTCAAAAAACCATGGTTTGATTGTCCTGTTTGTAAAGACAATGGCAATGGTACAGGACAGCAACAAATCACAAAGGGCGTTTCCCCAGGACACAGCAAAGATCACTGCTCCACACCCACCGATGGCTCTGCGGAAGTTCTCCATCAGCACCTCCGTCTTCTTGATCTCTGTAGAGTAAACCTCGCTTCCCACCATTGGGCAGAAAGGGACCTTACTTCCCAGCTCCTGAGCAATGGCCAGAGCTAGAGCGGTCTGCAAAAGATAAGAATGACACGGATCTGTTTCAGTCCTCAAGATATAGTGATTTAGAAACACAGCCAATAGAAGTTTTTAACCCAGAATGACCAAGAAGCTAATCCCTACATTAAATTAACACCTACTGACATATTTTTATACAGTCAGTGTTGACTTCTGTAGACAATCATTTCATAAGTGTCAACAATGACCATTCCCAAATTGATGAACTTCTCTTAGGGACCCCTGCCCATTACAAGCCCAACCCTAAGCACCTCCCACACGCTCAGAGCCCAGGAAGCTACTACTCCACACCCCATGAAGGAAGAAGGAAGCCAAGACAAGGACTCATTAACATAGCCCAGGCACCATGACCTAGGAAAAGGCAGAGCAGAGATGGAGATGCTGGCAGCAGGACCCAGAGGTCACACTCCTATTGTCATTAGCATGTTCTTCCAAAACTATTTCCATGCCAGCCAGGTAAAATGGCACACATCTATACTCCAGCACTTGGGAGGTGGAGGCAGGGCTGAGGAGAGTTCAAGGCCAGTCTGGACTATATAGCAAGACCCTGTCTCAAAAACACCTGCTCCTTCAATCTCCCAACAGGGTCTGGCCATCTGACTGCTCAGGGCACCCTCAACCAAGGTCTCTGAGATCCTGCTTTCTGTTTTACAAATGCAGGAAACTGGTGCCAATCTAAATCAGTACCAAAGGAATATGCTGCTTCCTGTTCCTTTTATTAGTATGTGGTTTACAAATAGCGGACAAAGATAAGTTAGGGAACTTCTGAAGCTATGAGTTGGTCTTAACAAGTTACACTCGAACTTGCACTACAGTAAGCTACAAACTGACGTTTGGGAACGTAACTGTGGCTGGCAAATACAAAACAGAGTAGATGTAACAGATATGTGGCCAAATGCTGGGAATGAAAGGCAAGCACTCTAAGGCTGGTATAGGACTGGAAATTCCATGGCCTCTTCATGCCATTTCTACCTCTCCTCAATGCTGAAACCTGAATATGAAGAAGGGCAGCTCCCAGGTCCATGGTTAAGGAAGGCCTGCTTGCCATTCAGGAAGAATATGAACTTAAAGACAGGGCTTACAAACTGAGCTGGGGAGCCAGGCACAATTGCACACCACGGAGTGTAACCCCAGCACTCCAGAAGCCGAGGCAGGAGGACTGTTGCAAGGTCAAGGCTACCCCAGGCCATAAGCAAGACCCTGTCTCAAAAAACAAACAACACTAAATATTACAAACTAAAAAGAAATAAAAAATAAAAATTGGGGGGCTGGGGATTTAGCTCAGTGGCATAAGCACCTGCCTTGCAAGCAGGCGGTCGTGAGCTCGATCCTTGGTACCGATAAAAATGAAAAAGACAAAAAAATAAAAATAAAAATTGGGCTGGGGGCCAGGAAAGGTTCCTCTTAGATTTTCTTTTCAGTGCCCCTTTGGCAGACAATAGAGGCTGGTGAAGGCTCAGTATCTAGAAGCAAAAGAAGCTCTAGCACCCAAGCAGAGACTGATTTCAGTCCTGACCATCACTATTTTCACTGGAAGCTTGAGCACTCAGCAAACCCCTCAGGGCCAGCTTCCTATCTATCCACTGTGGTATGAAGGGGCAGACCAGACCCCAGGAGCTTGCAACTTGCCTACGGACTGACCCTCCAAGTCCTACAGTCCCACACGTGCTCTGAAACTTGGTCTGTAATCACTTAGCCTCCCAGGAGGAAAAGGAGACCTAGCCACAGTGCACACCAGTTCCTGGGCAGCAGCTGCTGCTGTAGGAGAGCTCGCGCCAGCCCCCTGGCTGGCACTAGTGCCCACACAGGCTGCTGTCCCTCTAGGCATCTAGGGTTTGCATTCAGAGAGTAAGAGGAACAGCACAGACAGGCACAAGAGCAACCTGAACACTAGAACACCACCAGGTTGTGGACTGGCCAGGCCCCTTTCTCCTGGTCCCTCTGCCTCTTCAGCCTGAATTCCATAGTCCCCAAATCCTAGTCACAGCTTCCAAGCTCCCTGACAGTGAACATATCCAGTTCAGTGGTATTCCTGCATCCCTCTACCTAACAGAGATGATTAGCATATTTTCATTAAAATAAGACAACTACCTGCCTAAGAAATACTTCCTGCCTGTCTAGTTTCCTACAATATAGAGCACTGTCACTACACTTACCCCTTCGCTATGGCAACAGACAGCTCTCACTAAGCTTCCAACCTATGAACTTGATAGTCTAGTTTGTATTTTTCAGATTAAGAAACTGAAGCTGGGTAGGGTGGTGTGTGCCTGTGATGCCAGTATTTGGGAGGCTGACGCAGGAGGATCACCTGGAGTTCAAGGCCAGCCGGGGCTACAGAGAGTTCAAGGCCAACCTGGACTATAAGCGAGACCCTATCTCAAAAGAAAAAGAAACTGAAGTGCACAGTTACCAACTCACCCAACATCAAAGAACTTGCAAACAACAGAACAAGTATGCACACACTGCTCTCCAAAGCCATCATTTCCTTGTGTCTCACCACCCTAGGCAAGTACCAAGTGGCACATAAAAAAGGGTGTTTCCAAAAAAAGGCTGAGGAAACTTACTTTCAATCTCATCTGAACATCTTCCTTTCTAAAATCCAAATCATAATACTCCATTATGAACAGTGAAAGACTGTCAGGAGTGGACCCTCCATAAGAATCATGTATTTGGGGCTGGGGATTTAGCTCAGCGGCATAAGCACCTGCCTTGCAAGCAGGCAGTTGTGAGTTCGATCCCTGGTACCGATAAAAATGAAAAAGACCAAAAAAAAAAAAAAAATAATAATAATAATAATAATAAAAAAGAATCATGTATTTGCAGAATGGGCATGGAAATACACGCCTGTAATCCTAGCACTGGGGAGGCTGAGGCAGAGGCAAGTTAAATGCCAGCCTGAACTGCATGCGAAACTCTGTCTCAAAAAGACAAAAAAAATTTATACATTTGTATAACTGGGTGTGGTGGCACATGCCTGTGATCCCAGCAGTTGGGAGGCTGAGGTAGGAGGAACTCTACAAGTTCAGAGCCAGTCTGGGGTATGTTGTGAGTTCAAGGCCAGCCTAGTCTGTGTAGTACGACCCTATCTCAAAACATCAAAACAAAACCAAAAGGTAGAAAATATGAGAGGCGGAAAGACAAAAAATCCTAAAGGAGAAGCCCTAGCCCAAGACTTCTTGGCTTTGGTCTGGATGCCATTTAGGACCCGCAGATCCCTACTGTAGAGACAGGACGACAACAGCACTTGGGCCTCCAACCACTAGATCTCACTGCACCTACTTGAGTTAGGACAACAGAAAAGCCTGGCTAGACAAACTGCCCCTAGAAGAAAAGTACCACAGTGGGAACCTCGACTAACCGATTCCAGATAGTGAGAGGAGAATGGGAGATAAAGACAAAAGAAGTTAAAGACTGATGACTTTCCAGAACTATCAAGAGACAAAATACTGAGACCCTGGAAGCACAATTCATCTCAGGTAGGAGAAATACAAATAAATCCATCCACTGTACACCACAGTAAAGTACCAAAACCAAGCACATCTCCAGAACTTTCAGAAGAAAATGTTAAAACCCTCCCCCAAAAATTGTTTTTAGGTTTTTTAAGACAGGCTCTTGCTATGTAGTTCAGGCTCACCTCCAACTCAGTGATCCTGCTGCCTCAGCCTGCCCACTACTAGGTTTATAGATGTATGCCTCACATCTGGCAAAATCCTCAAAATTTGTCTTAAAAGCAGTGACAGAAGCTAAAAGACAGCAAATAACATTGAAAGAGTATTGAAGAAAATGTCTATCAATTAAATTATAAACCCAGCACGACTATCTTTCAAGACAAGGACAACATAATAAATATGACCTGAGAGACCTTCTCATCAGCAACCTGCAGAAGGAACCTCCAGGGAACACACTTCAGGAGGAAACCTGGAGGCCGAGGGGAGGCATAGTACCCGAGGAGGAACAGTAAGCAAATGCATGGCAAATGCCATGGACAAGCTATGGGCCTGAGCCTCACGATGGTCAGCAGTGTACCAACACAGGCCTTTGTCCTCCAAGGTGAGTCACGCCATCAGTGTAGTAAATACTGTTTCAGAATTAACACCATCGCACACCTGAGTGGAATTGTGTTCCCACTTCTGGTTTCACAAGCAAGTCAATACCAGAGGTAGAACATAACACACACACCCATTTCTATTGTTTTCGTCTTTGAGACAGCATCTCGCTACAGTTCAGGCTGGTCTTAAATTCACCGTATAGCCCAGGCTGGCTTCACACTTACAGTGATCCTCCTGCTTTAGCCTCTCGAGTGATGGGATGACAGGTGTGCACCTGGTTCTAAAGCCCATTTCTTCACAGCCCAGGCTCTGACTCTCCTTGTACCTACGAGCGCTTTGGAGGAACAAGCAGGGCTCAGGCTAGGTGTGCGGATGTGTTTCTCTTATCCAGCCTTTCCCCTCACAGAACCCAGTGAGCCACACTGAGATCCTGCCTAGGCCTCTTCTTCTTCCAAGGCCGAACCTCTCCAGCTGAGGGCGATCGCCCAGTCTCCACCTCTCCAGTTTCACCAACTCAGCTCAGATCCCAGCTGCATTTCCTACAGGTTAGCGAGCCCACGAGCACTGCATTCAGCGAAGTTATTTTGTGTGGTCATGACTTCCTGTATTTCTGTCCTAAAAAGACTACAAACCCTCAAAGATAAAAACCATGTTCCTAATTCTTTCTCTGTCTCTTTTTCTTTCTCATCTCTTACCCAGTCAAAATAGTAATGGGTGAAGCTAGTATTTTATTTCCTCTCAAATGAGATGTCACTCTGGAGATTTTCTGAAGGCCCAGAGCAGCAAGAACACATTTCCAAAGCACAGACTTGAAGAAGACAAAGGAAAAATTGCAGAGACAATGAGAGCCCTCTGCAGACCTGACTCTCAGCTGGAGGAAGGCCAGGGTAATTTTAATTCCAAAAGTATGGATTTCAGACACCCAGTTGTATTATCGCACATTAGTTTTTAAAACACACACATAACTAATTCAGCTTAACAAAGACTAGTTAAGACATGAATCCAATTTGGCTTAGACATCGCAATCATTCTCCTGGGGAGCTGAAGAAATGAGAGAAAGAGTACCTTGCCAGTTCCAGGAGGTCCTGCCAACAGGACAGCTCTTCCCGCCATTTTCTTGCTTTTGATTAATTCTACTATGACGCCGCATGCCTGCACACGATAGAAAGAAATAATCAGTCAGTATTAAAACGCTTCCTGGGAAGATTCAGCTCCTAGTCTACATAGCGCATAGGCATCCAACCAAGCCCCGCAGCTGACCCTACAGAAGCACAGAAAGCCCTGAGCTCCAGCTGAACTCCAGTGACGCGTGAACATCACACAACATCACTACTAAGAAGAAAGGACTACACAGAGTGGGTGGCCACAGAGTGACAGGGGGTGATCTCTTTAATTATATTTGATACATATGCCTGTAGTCAGGGCAAAGGAAATAGTGAGTTCAAAATCCCCATGGCTCCTGGAATTTATATGAATAAGTCTCTAACTGAGCTTAAAGTACCCAGGGCTGAGGTATAGCTCAATGGTAGAGCACTGGCTCAGCATGAATAAGGCTCTGAGTTCCATCCCCAGTCTGCAACAAAACAGAACAACACACACAATAACAGCAGAGAGGTTGGGCAGGGTGCCGCACATCTGTAATCTCAACCCTCAGGAGCCTGAGCCAAGAAGATGCTATGAGTGCCAGGCCAGCCTGGGCTACATAGTGAGACCTAGCTTAAAACCAAAAACATTGCAAGAGTCTGGCAAGTTCACAAGAGAAAGGCTGCAGTAACCAAAGTGGAGTGAAAAGACAGGGGGACGATGAGCTTGAAAAGTAGAAAGGGTCAGAGGAGGGCAGTCGAATGGAGAGTCACTGCAGAGGTCTCAGACTGTGTGTCATTAAAAGATCACCCTGGGTCAAGGGCTGTAGGTCAGTAGTACAACACTTGCTTACACGTGCAAGACCCAAAGTTCCATCCCTAGCACCACAAAAAATAAAACAATATAAAGAAAACAAAAGATCACCCTGACTGCTGCTTGGAATATGGGCCATAGAGTTAAGTATGGAAGCACATACCTGTAATTCCAGCTGTCAGGTGGCTGAAGCAGGAGGATCAATATGAGTTGGAAGCCAGCCTGGGCTACAAAGTAAATTCAAATCCAGCCTGATCTCTATAGCAAGACCCTGTCTCAAAGGACCATAGACAGGTAATGGGAGTAATAATTTTTAGCCTGGGGTATAGGAATAAGACTCCAGGATCCACAAGCCTCCTGAAATCAGAAACAAAATTGTGTATACGTGTTCATATGTGCATTTCTCCAGGGAGAAGACCCAGAGCTCTCATCAAATTCCTACCCACTAAGGCTTAAGAACCAATGATAGCTGGGCATAGAGGCACATGCCTATAACCCCAGCATTCTAGAAGGCTGAGGCAAGAGGATTCTGAGTTCAAGCCTAGTCTGGGAAACTTGATGAGAACCTGTCTCAAAAACAAAGTCTGAGAATGGATGTAGTTCAGAGCAAAAGTCCTGCAAAGTACTGCCAAAGAAGAAGAAAATAAGAAAGAAAAGGAAAAGGAGATGGAGAGTAGAAAAAGGAAGAAGAGAAGGGGCAGGAGGGGAAATGGGGGAGGGAAGAGGAGGAAGGCAGGATGAAGGAAGAGAAGGAGAAGAACCTATGATAGACCATACTTGGCCATGAGTGGAGCCTGTAGAGCAAATACTGACTATGAGGTTTAAACCCATGCCACCATCAGAATCACCTTGTGAATCCTCAGGACTCCATTACTTGGTCATCTACCTATATATTTTGAATCTACTCTGATAATTAAGCCAGTTACAAAATATATGCATAAACTCACATACCCCAGATCCATAAATGGATCACCAGTCTTCATACATTAGAGAATACTGGACTGCAAAAAAGACTGAGGAAGTCACACTTACTGAGCACCTCCAGCCTATGACTACCCAACACAAGATTTGTTAGACTGATTTAATAACTAAAGTGTGACAACCTGAAAGGTGTTTTTCTGTGTGTGAAGCAAGACCACAGTGCTGTCACTACACAGGGATCACATTGCACCCCAGTGACCAGAGGCTCCTGTGAAGGTACTGCATCTCCTCCGTCCTGTCCCCCATGGACTGGAAAACACCTTGGTTCCACAAATAGCCCTCAAAAACCAATTACCAGGCATATAACTCGGCAGTGTAGCATCTGCCCGGTGAGCACAAGGTCCTGAATTCAATTCCCAGTATCAAAAGAAAAAAAAAAAAAGCTCAAGTAATGAGATGGTGTTCTGTTCCATTTGTTTCATCTAGCACAGAGCCCTGAATAGCCCCTCTAAGACTTCTCCAAAAAGACCCTCTGCAGTCTGTCCAGTGACCCTTCACATTGGTACTCTGTCTACTCCAAAAAGGGTGAAGAGATTTTCTTAAATGTGGCCATGTACTGAATTGTCAGACTGAGAACAACTCTTCCATTCATTCTCCTTCAGTAAGATATGTTACAAATTCTATAAGATATGTTACAAATATGATACAAAAACTGGCAGGGCCTGTAAGATCACTGATTCTAACAACCTTATTTTTCACAAGAAAGTACTGACTAGCAGAGGCTACTGATGTAAACAGTCATACAAGAACCTCGTAGCAGAGGTGGGTCAAAGGCATACAGCACCAGAGTTAAGAGCATGGAGTCCCAAAGACTGGAGTCTAAATATTGGCTCTACCTCTTATCCACTGAAACAACCTCAGACCCAGTTACTGAACCTCTGTTAAGTCATACTATTTGTCTGGACACAGAAGTTCGTAGTAGTGACATATAGGCTAACGGGTTAATGTACACTGATGTATGCAGTTTACTTGGAAATGTGAAAGTGGAGTAGAGATGGATAGATGAAATTATATGATAAAGCCACACAGTAAAATGTTAACTATAAAATTCAGCTCCATGAGTTTTTATTATAAAAGTGTTTCAGTCAGATATATGGTACTCATCTGTAATCCCAGCACTTGAGAGGCTCAGGCAGGAGGATCCCTGTGAGTTCAAGGCCAGTCTAAACTACACAGTGAGATCCTATATCTAAAAACCAAATTTAAAAAAAAAGCATTTCAGCTTTGGTAAAGAAGTTGAAAAGTTATATAAAAGTAGAGAAGGGACAATCATTCTGCAGATGAAAAACAAGACAATGGAAACAGCCAGGTGTAATGGCACACACCTGTTATCTCTACACTTGGGAGGCTGACACAGGAAGATCATTGTGAGTTGAAAGTGGGTTTGAGCTACACAGTGAGTTCAAAGCCAGTCTGAGCTACAAAGCAAGACCTTGTCTCAAAAAACAAAACCAAAAACAAAAAAGAGGCATCTCTTTGGCCTTTTGTTAGCAAGAGTTGCAGAGATAATCATCTTCAACTTGTATTCAATTAAGGCCCTTGTAGCTACTAGGCCTCTCCAGAGGCCAAGGTTCATGGCTCTGAGACCAAAGTATGGCAAGTTCCTTCACAGCTGTGCATCATCTAGAAAGCAGATGTGGGGCCTGGAAATGAGTCTGAGTACAAATCTCAGCTTTATCATCATGCACTGAGTGGCAATTGATAAGAGTAACGTCTCCCACCCTCAACTTTTTCATCTGCAAAAAAATAAAATGGGCGATGAACTGACCACACTACAAAAGCAGACTCAACTATAGATTGCTCCTCTCCATAACTCCTACTTCTCTCTCTCAGCTCCCAGGCCCGGAAAACCAAAGTCAACTTTTTCAGCTTGGTCGATTCCCTCCTCCATAAATCCAGAGCCTGCCACTGCGTTCACAAGGAAGTCCAATTTCTTTACCAGGCGACAAAGGCCTGTAGGTACAGACTTGTATCGAGATACAACAATCGTTTGCTGGCGTGCCTGTGTTTACTCGCTGTCTCTCGCCACGCAGGAACGCAAGATCAGGGAAATCAGGAGTTCCCTATACTTAGTTACCCGAGGGCTCCATCAATGAGGAGTGCGGCAGGGTCGTCCTCAGTGGCCAAGCCCTCGAGAAGCGCCCTGCTCGGCCCCGCTCCCCGCGCTGTCTCTATGTGCCCACAACGCCCGGGGATGCTGGCGCGCAACCCGCCCGATCACGCTCCCAACTCCTGGTTGCGGCCAAACCTCTCTCGCGTTCTCCTGGCCCACGAGCCCCGAGGCCGCCTGTTTGGCCAGGCCGCTGTCGTCCAGCCCCAGACCCTTCACGTGGCTGTGGGAAGCGATCCGCTGCGTCTTCGTGGTGCTTTTCACCTCCTCTATCTTCATTTTAAAGAAGCGAGGAGCCCAAACCAGCGTGGAAAACCAGGAGCAAGTGCAGTGCGCACCGCGCCGGGGTTACCATGCGGCCGTTACTAGGGCATTACATAAAAATCCCGCCTCTGTCGGCGCTCCATTGGCGGAAACAGGAACACTTTTACTCTCCATTGGCTTATGGCTGCACCCATCATAGCGCCGGTGGAGTTCCGCCCACTCACTTCCGTCTGTGTCCTGGGTTGGCTACCCGACAGTCAACGCTTCCTGCCGGGAAGAAGCGCCGAGAGCCCAGGGGACTAGATGTGACCTGAGGCCCCGACCTTAGTTGGTGGCCAGCCTGGCTCTTAATGTTCGTGCCAGCCTTCCCGTTAGTTAACACGTGTAGACGTCCTTACAAGTTACTGCCTCAGTTTTGAAGATGAACTGAGGTTCGGAGCTTGAGCTCTGAGCTGATTATTGATTTTTTGTCTTTTTGAAACAAGGTTTCCTTATGTACCCCAGACTGGCCTGTAACCAGGAGAGGTCCTCCTGCCTCACTCAGCCTTCCCAGTGTTGGGATTACAGGCGCTCATTGACTTACTCCTGGTTGACTCTTAGACAAGAATAAATTCTTTTCACCACCTCTTGATCAAAGTGAGATGCTCTATGGAATTATCTGTGTATTATCCAATGGGGGTGGGAGTGTTGGATCCATTTTCACAGTTATTGTAAGCCCCAAGCTTTGTCTTTTGTAGCACAAAGAGAAGGATCTTCCAGCCAGAAAACAGAAGAGGAGTGAAAATTTTAGAGCCATGGGGCATCCTCAAACCATTTGATCCAGAGCTTTCAAAATGGTGGTTATAGATTCCTTTGGTGGCCAGAATGGGAGGGACAGGAAGGCTGAGAGAGTGGCAATGGGGCTGCAGGGCCTTTCCACCAGAGCTTTAATTTTTGCTGCTAAGGAACCATTCAGAGCTCACAGATCCTTATCTGCCCTAGCGGTCTCATTTTACCAAGGAGGAAAACGAGGTCTCAGGAATGACCAAGGTTACAGATTGTTCAAATGAGTGACACAGAGCACTGTGCAAAAGATGCTGTGCCCAGTTGTAGAGCTAACTATGTCCAGGACAGGACAGGGAAGGGACAGACGTGACTTCCACCCAAGGGTTGTGCAGCCCACTTCCAGCTGCAATAATTCAGATTTGTTTGGTGAGCTATTTTCTCCTCTTCTGGTGTCCTGAGTGTCTTGGGCACACTGACCCACAGCTAGCCGTGTTAGGGTGAGTATGACCCTAACCTGGCCCCATAGAGCATCTCATTTCTCCACAAATGCAGTGGCATCAGGAACCTGAGCAACCAGTCAGCAGTGCTCCAACCCTTGTGACTTACCTGAGAGATCAAAAAGGGGAACTGGGTTTTCAAGCTGCTGCATTTCCTGCATTTGCAGGAGACTCCACCTGCAACAAAACCAAGACAAAGGAAAGTAGAGCCCACATAAAGAGATTCCTGATGAACTCCCTGCATCAAGCCTCACCTTGCTTACAGTGTAATGTGACATTTAGTTCAGGGCTTAAGATGGTTTGAGCCAGGCAGGTGGTCCATCCTTGAGGAATGAGAAGCCATGCCAGAGAAGGACATGTGTCCAGTAATTGTGTGAACTACTTGTGAGTGGAAGTTCTCTGAAGAAACCACATCTGCATTGAAGACCGTACAGCCTGCTTGACCTTGGCTGACTGAAAAATGGTGACTGGGGAGAAGGAAGGTTATAGGTCAAAAGCCTGCATTAGTGGAACATGGTGGTGTACACCTGTAATCCCAGCATTTGTTGGGGGGGGGGCGGGGGAGTGAAGTAAGAGAATCAGTAAGAGTTTGAAGTCAGCCTGTACTACATGGTAAGTTCAAGGCCAGCTTGAACTGCATAGCAGGGCCTGTCTCAAAAAACCAAAAAACCCAAAACAAGAACAACAACAAAAAAGAGCTAGCATTAACTCACTCCAATTTAGGTCCTGTAAGAGCCATGTCCTACAACCTTTGTATTGACCCAACATCCTTGTTAACATTAAGTAAACCTAGTAAATTTAGTATCACTAAGCAGATCTCTAGCCTCCACCCATCCTAAAGCTAAGAACAGCATAAGAGCCAGGAGTGGTAACACACACTTGTCATCCCAACACTACGGAGGCTGAGGCAGGAGGATCACAAGTTTGAATCCAGCCTGGGCCAAATAGTGAGATCCTGTCTCAAAACAAGCAAAATACTAGTAGATAAAAC